AAACAACATATAACATTATTTTAAACATAAACATACAAATATTATCTTTTGTTTAAGACTAGATAAAAGAAAATACTTAATGCTCGTACCACCATTGAATTAATCAAATCTTGCATTTTATTTAATAGAGAATATCTGAGAAAAAAATGATCATAGGACAACTTCATGATAAAAGATCCTCACATGAATGGAGGTGAAACAGAGAAAAAGAATTATTAAAAATATTCGGGTCTGTTAAGTAATGTCAAGAGAAGTCGTGACAAAATATATATCATATATTATATTTTAAGACTTTAGTACGATACGATTTTATCTTTAAAAGATGTCTAGTAGATTAAGAGAAAAAGAAGTAAAATAAACTATATTTGACATCAATTTTTAAACGATATGAAATTCATGAACATTACCAAAATATAATTCTCAAGTCAAGAATTAAAGATTAAGAGAGGACCTAAAACTCTAATATCAATCCAACCATAAACACCAATATTTCATCTATATTTTATCTAAAAATAATAGTATATCAATCTAATATTTATTGTATAAGATCGTTAGAATCATTTGAGTATATATTTTAATATTCATCAAATAATCAATCTTATTTATCACCATAATTGTAACATACATTTTTTTATTCATATGTTTGTACGTTATTGTCCTACGAACATGATAAAATAACAATAACTACATTCAAGATCATAGCTTCAATCATAAAAATATAATAAATATAACATTTTTTTTCACATTCACTTATAAAAATATAAATACTGATAAAACTCATTATTTTATTCATCACATTAAGTGTTTTAAAATTTGACATGATATAATTACTACAGAAAATTATAATATTAACATAATAATAATAATAATAATAATAATAATAATTAAATTATATATTATAATAATATACAATAAAAAAAATAAAGATATGATATAATTACTTATCTTAGTATGTTAAAATATTATTACTTGATAACGTGTTATGCAATAGATTGTAAAACAAAATAAAAAATAATAATCAAATTCATTATATTTCATTAAATTGGATATTTAAGAGTTATAAATATTTAAATAACATAGATTAATAAAATTAACATAAAACCAATAATAATTCATACCATAAATAAATTTATTAAAAATGATGTATTTACATTTAAATTAAAAAAATACCATAAACATTTCATGATAATTTTCACTTTTTAATAAAATAATAATAATGTATTATATATTTAATATATAAGTATTAAATGATTTTTTATTAATTTTCTAATTTTTGTCTAATTTTTATTATTGTACTAATTTTTCTTTAAACTGGTTATTTATTTTATTTTAACTGATTCATGGATATGTTAATGAGACAAGCATTTCAAAACATGGTTAAATAACTAAAGAGGCCTAACGATGTCACATATATTCTTTAAGGACGGATCTTTGTTACTAGTTCAATTTTTAGATTAACAATTAATAATTAAATTAATATTATATTATATCTAATATACATGTATATCTTTTGAAAGTTATTTATAATATGATTATATTTTATTTATGGTATACATGTATTTATAAAATATAATAGCAAATTTATATTATATTTATCTATAATAACACTTGTAAAAAAATTAAAATAATGTTTAATAATTTTCTTAAAAAAATATGTATAATAACTAAAAAAAAATACTTAATAAGTTTATAATAACAAAAAAAATATGAAAAATGATTCAAATCAAAATATGAATGATTGATTTGATTTAGTTTATAGATTTTATATTAAATTAAATTGTATTTAATTTTTTATGTGTGTTATATAATAAAAATAAATAAATCAAAGCACGTGTAAATCTCACTGTTGTTGAGACATGTGTGGATTTTGTCGTCGAGCAGTTTAAATTCAAAATTTGTTGGTTTAAATTGGACAAAACTTAGTCCACTCTCTTGATTACCTAATCTGCCCCCAAAAGAACAAAGCATTGTCTTTTGTTGAAAAGATTATTTATTTGTTAGGTTGTGGAGAAAATTGAAAAGGTCTCTCTGGTTATAGCACTGTTCAACACAAAAATTATTGCATTTTCTGGGAAATGAGTTAGTTGAAATGCAAATGGTCAAAATATACATTATTGCTATTTGTAATATGTAGAATCATAAAGCTTTCAATTCAAAAAATAGGACTTTAGCCATCAAAACCCATTCTATTATCATTCCTTTTAATAATGTTTGGATCTATTTTTCTGTGCTACCAAATGCATAGACAAAGATTTTTTATTGATAGTTAAAAAGTTAACCATATGCCAAACATTTCAAGTCTTAAAGATTCAATATTTAAAGTGTAGTTCATTGACTTTAAAAAAAAAAAAATAGAGCATGGAAAAATTATTAGAGAGATTTCATCTATTTAAGATTAAAAATTGTTTGCAATGTTATATGTATGTTTGAAATCAGAGTTGAAATCTGCAAAAGTATCTTTTCTTTTTAATTATTTTCTAAAAAACTGTAACTTATTGTTTTTCCATCGTTTCTTCCCCCTTTCAGTTTCATATATGCTATTTTTCATGTAAAGTTTGATTTTTTATTTGATTTAGACAAAATTAGTTATATTTAAACCTTTTTTTTTTGCAAGTTTAATATTGATTTTAATTATAATTGATTAAGGGTATGTTTGAACAAACTTCCCCCAAAGTATTTATAAGGAAAAAAAAACCTTATTTACAAACTAACTTATAGAAGATCTCTCCTTTAATTTTGTTTTGTTTTGTTTGTAACTTGTATATAGTTAATTTTAATTTATGAAAAACAAAGGTCAAAGAAATACTTATAAACCTGTTGAAGAGGACACAAATAATTGCTTGATCATACACGTAATCAATTGTTGAAGAATTTTAATGAATTTTTATGGCTATTTCAAAGACACCATCGAACTTGATATCATTTTTTTATTCCAAAATGATATGATTGTTGGAAGTTTGTGATGTAGTGGTAGTGGAGGAAGTACTATTGAAGAAAATGTGTGTAGAAGAGGGTACAGAAAAGTGAGACACATAGTATATACATGATATGATTGTTGATCCTACAAAGAGTCGACCATATCAAGTCAACTTCTCCACCATCAATCCCTTAAGTCAACCATGCAGAGTCTTCATATTTTCACAATTAGGACGAAAATATAATGTGTCTGTTTGTAGTTTTAATTAGTTTATATACATATATAATTATGGCAATATTTTTTTTATGTACACAAATTTTTAGCTATTTTGCTTCTCCACTAATGCTAAAAGTTACTCCACAGAGTCATAATAATTATTAAAATTTAAGCAATTTCTCATAATTAATTTTCATTTAACACGCACACACACATATACATATATATATATATATATATATATATATATATATATATATATATATATATATATAGTTAACTTAAATATTAAGTAATTTTAATTTATGATTTTTTGTATTATGATGTTCACCTATGAGAATTAGAAGTTTATATAAATATATCTAACTATAGGATGTTTAGAAATTTGTTGGTGGAACTTAAATGGGTATTCAAGTTAATCTATAGTAAGGCATACTTTCCCTTTTTCTAACATAGAATATGTGCAATAAGTGGAAGCACAACTCCTTCAAAGAAGAGTCAAAGCACAATTAATTTATTGAAAGAAATTGGAACAAACAAGAACAACAAACATGTAGCAGAACAGAAGCTTGAAACATGAAAACTTAATGTACATTGACCTCAAGACTCAAGTTTTTGGAGACTAATGGGGTAGAGGACTGGACATGAAATTTGTAATCATAATGTAACTATATCTTCAATAACTGTCGAGATCTGTTTCTATGACCTCAAGATTTATTTTGTTGGTTTTATCCATTTGTCTCTCTAACACATGCTAGTTACCCATTGTCTCATGCATATATGATACACCTTAATTACATGACACTCAACAAGTGATATTATTCTCCTACATTTGTATTAAAGAACATGTACTGTTAAAGATGTTTTTCCAAAGCAGTATTCATTACAATCAAAATGCTAAAAACTTACAATTGACAAATTGGTGCTGATCAGAGGGAGATTACGTAGAGTTGAGATGAAGCAAAGAGCCTGTGAAGTTCTGAAAATGACAACTAGATCTCACGTATATGGTAGATTCCTATCCATAGGCCTTTTCCAGGTTCAAATGTCCTGAGGGAGAAAATTGAGATTTGCAAGATCCTCATTTGAAGTCATTATCGTCATTGTTGTCTGAGTCATAATCCTCGTCACTAGTGTCTCACACACTATTATTATATTTTTCATTAACACTTGATTACTAGTATTAGGTTTGAAAAACCAGGGAACGATTATTGCTTGTTTGGGTGTTGGACAACCCAAATGCCTTTCGAAACGTCTTTTCCTCTGTTTATGCGGTTCAAAAATGAAATGCTGGGCATGGCGTACATGTTTACTATATAAAGGTGAAATTGCAGTTTTAGAAAAAATGTTGACATCAGTGGCGGATCTTCTTGGGAGTCGAGGGGTCGTAGCTCCCAAAATTTTATAACTTCCATATAATTTATGATTTTGGTCCTCCTAAACTTAATTAATATTTAATATATTTACTTGTATATTTACAATTTTATCTTTTCAAATTCCTCCTCGGCTTTGTAACTATCATATAATTTATTATTTTGTCTCTCTCTAACTTAATGATCATTTAATATATTTAAGTATATATTTACAATTTTATCCTTATACCCTTTCATCTTCTTTCTTCCTTTTATATTTATTTATTATTTATTAATAATATATTATTTGGATTTATATTTATTTATTATTTATTAATAATATATTATTTGGCCCCTCCAAGATGAATGATCAAGATCCGCCAATGGTTGACATGTTTTCCAACTACAACTTATGCTTGGAGTTGCTCAAAATAATTATAGGGTACAGGGAGATGGAACCCATGAATTGCCAGCAGTTTGGTTGAGGTGGATGGTTAACTGAAACCGTGTACAACATGAAAAAGCCACAGCAAGCGGATGCTACAAATATGAAGAGGACTATGGGTAGAAGAGGGGAAACAATAGACAAGAATAAGGTGGTTCAAAATAAGTAAAGAGAATGAAAATGTGAAAAATAAAGTGAAACTAAGAGTACTTGCTTTAAGAGAAATAGGAAAGAAATAAAATAACTAAATAGATGAATGGAAATAGATTATAAATAACCGATAGACCTAAACCTTTTTATTTCTCCTTCACCAAACACTCACTATTTTTTTTTATTTCACCCCTACCTCTTCCCATGCTATTAACATTTAAGAGTAATGGATACCAGGGTTATTGATGTTTGATTGCCATTAAGAGTCATTATTCCAAACGAAAAAATTCAAACTTGATGGAAAATGATCTTTTTTATTATAGAAGAATAGCATAAAAGGATTGATCGCGGAAGATTTGTTGTTCTTATCAGAAGATCATGATTGGATCCACATATGTTTGGTAAAAAGAAAGAAAAAAGATTCTTCTTTGAGAATAATAAAAAGGAAAGTGTTCAATTGGAACATGAAAACGTGACTGAATTGGTCCTAGTTACTCTTCGGAATGGAATAGAAGAAGGGGAGAGATTCTCGAACCGAACTAGGAAGCAGATCCAATGACTTCAAAAAAATTGAACGAGGAGCCATATAAAGTGAAATCTCATGTACGGTTCTGTAGAGTGGCAGTAAGGGTGACTTATCTGTCAACTTTTCTACTATTACACCAAAAAAACTAAACGTTGTCTTACGTAAAGTTGTCAAAGTACGCTTAACCTCTGGATTTGAAATTATTGTTTATATACCCGGTATTGGCCATAATTTACAATAACATTCTGTAGTCCTAGTAAGAGGGGGGAGGGTTAAAGATTTACCCGGAGTGAGATATCACATTGTTCGAGGAACCCTAGATGTTGTCGGAGTAAAGGATCGTCAACAAGGGCGTTCTAGTGCGTTGTAGATTCTTATCCAACACTTGTATCATTTGAAAATGTCATGTGAATCGCTAGAAACATGTAAAGTGTATAACTAACCTAATAACGAAAGTTTCATAAGGTAAATGGAGCAGGCTACCATGAGACAAAAGATTTTCTTTCTAAAGAAATTTGATTCGGAACTATGATATGTCCAAGGTCCAATATGGAAAGAGTTTCAAAGGTTTTCCTTGAATTTGTCTGTGTCAACAAACAATTCGAAATGCCTCGACTTTTTTAGAATAGGTCCGAGTCAAATAGCAATGATTCGAAGCACTTTACATTATTTTGGAAACCCAAGGACTCAATCGTATGGATATGTAAAATACAGGATTTTCAATCCTAGCAGTAAAAGGGGAAACGAATACTCAATTTCAAGTGAGTAAACAGAATTCCATACTAGATATCATAGATACATATAGAATTCTATGGAAAGTCGTATTCGATGAAAGTCATATGTACGGCTTGGAGGGAGATCTTTCATATCTTTTGAGATCCACCCTACAATATGGGGCCAAAAAGCCAAAATAAATGATTTTAGCCCTTATAAAAGTTATAAAAAAATGGATTCCTCATTTCACGCTCATGTCACGATGAGGTACTGCAGAAGTAAAAACCGCAAAATCCGATCCAATTTATCGTAATCGATTAGTTAACATGTTAGTTAACCGTATTCTGAAACACGGAAAAAAATCATTGACTTATCAAATTATCTATCGAGCTATGAAAAGATTCAACAAAAGACAGAAACAAATTCACTAACTGTTTTACGTCAAGTAATACATGAAGTAACTCCTGATATAGCAGTAAAAGCAAGACGTGTAGGTGGATCAACTCATCAAGTTCTCGTTAAAATAGGATCCGCACAAGGAAAATCACTTGCCATTCATTGGTTATTGGGGGCATCCCGAAAACATCTAGGTCGAAATATGGTTTTCAAATTAAGTTCCAAATTAGTGGATGCTGCCAAAGGTAGTGGCGATACCATACGCAAAAAGGGAGAGACTCATAGAACAGCAAAGGCAAATAGAGCTTTTGCACATTTTCATTAATCCATGAACAAGATCTATATAGACATGTCAACCCATGAATTCATACATCTCAATCGAAATTAATGAATAGATCTCTCGAAACAAACGAAAAGGAAACGAAAAACAAAACATAAATCATGGATCAATTTAGCCCTCTCAGGGACTTGCTTAAGAATGAGAAAGAGGAATCTTATGTAAATACCACAGAATAAAGTTTGGTCTTATTCATGGGGATTCTGTAACTATTCCATTTCAAAAAGATAACAAAATTCGAAACAATTGAGATTTTTTAGAGATTGAATGCAATTACTAATTCATGATCTGACATGTACAAAATGAAAACTTCATTCTCGATTCTACAAGAATTTTTATGAAAGTCTTTCATTTGCTTCTCTTCGATGGAAGTTTTATTTTTCCAAAATGTATCCTAATTTTTTGCCTAATTCTTCTGATGATTGATTCAACCTCTGATCAAAAAGATATATCTTGGTTCTATTTTATCTCTTTAATAAGTTTAGTAATGAGCATAACGGCCCTATTGTTCCGATGGAGAGAAGAACCTATGATTGCCTTTTCGGGAAATTTCCAAACGAACAATTTCAACAAAATCTTTCAATTTCTTATTTTACTATGTTCAACTCTATGTATTCCTCTATCCGTAAAGTACATTGAATGTATAGAAATGGCTATAACAGAGTTTTTCTTATTCATATTAACAACTACTCTAGGAGGGAGTATTTAGACTCCTTTGGAACACAATGAAGAGAGGTTGTCTAAGGTTAGAAGGGCTCTAAGAGGAGGCACTCTCGAGTTGTGGCTAGAGTGGATTTTTGTGTGTGAAATGGCTAGAGTGGAGATGGTACAATTTGAAGGAGATTTAATGGATATGATCTAGATCTGTTGGTATCGGTTTTGGGATGACAATCGGGAAAATTGGTCGCATGATAACAAAATGGGAGATAAAGGTCTAGCTATCAAACTGAACCTTGGCAAAACTATATTCGAACCATTGACTCTGAGGATAAGACATGCACCAGCAGTTTGGAGACCACAGACATACAATAAAAGGTTATCCAGGCAGAGCAAACTAAGACATTTGACCCAAAGGTTAAGGTGAGTATCTAATGTGAACATGACCTATGATAAGGGCTAGAGCAAGGGAAGCAAAAGAAGCTCTTCAACAAGTATTGTTAGTTGATCAAATTGTGTTTTGGATTAATCAAACTAAAGTTCATTAATTGATTAATCCAAAACACAATTTGATCAACTAACAATACTTGTTGAAGAGCTTCTTTTGCTTCCCTTGCTCTAGCCCTTATCATAGGTCATGTTCACATCAGTATCGAAGGGGAGATCACTCTCTATAGTATAACACCCTATCGGCATTGATTTAGAGATGCACAACTTGCGGAAATGAGGAAGATGAAGAAGAAATAAGGGAAAAAAACCCCAAACGTTAGCTGCAGAATAAACCTCAGAAAGGTCTAAGTATTAGGTGAACCTGTTAGGAAAAATACACAGAACTTTTCCATGTAGTCAGATCTATGAAAGTGAAATAAAAACGAAATAAAGACGGAATAATTGGACACACCAATTGATAATGGAGTTCGGCCAAAATTGCCTACGTCTCCGGACTACTGCAGATATTTTACTGGGAGAAAAGAAAATACACAGGTGTTTACAAAGCACTCTCAAAACACTCAACCCTCAACCCAATTACACCCAGAAGCTAGATTATTTCTTTCTGCTTCTTGTTGGCTAACACTTGTAATGGTTCCTTTGGAATTGGATGATGGAAATGAGTGAAGTGAAAGAGCATTTGATAGCAAAAGGAATGGTTCTTGTGCATTTAAGGCTTTCCAATTTTTCTTGTCTCCAATCACTTGCCATCCAACCACTTGTCAACCAACCACTTGCCACCCTTTTTTGACTTTTCAAACACCAACAATCTCCCACTTGAGGACTGATTTCAATCTGTCCTCACACCTTGATTAATGTAGTAGTCTTCTCTGGTCTGCTACTCTTGCAAGCCAACTGAAGTTGAGCACAACTTCAGTTTGTCAATGGTCACCACCTTCGTTAGCATATCTGTTGGGTTCTTGCTTCCTACAATCTTCTTCAATGTTAACACCTCATCCTCAAGTAGAGATTGATGAAATGATAACGAATATCAATGTGCTTGGTTCTGGAGTGAAATGCTGAATTCTTTGCTAGATGTATTGCACTCTGACTATCACTATGCAAAACACTCCCTTCTTGAGTGAATCCCAGCTCGCTATCAGTCCTTGAAGCCATATCAATTCTTTATCGGCTTCATCACGCTTACATACTCAACCTCCGTAGTGGATAAAGCAACAATTTTTTGTATTCGCGACATCCAACTAACAGTTGTAGTACCAACCGTGAAAACATAACCGGTGGTGCTTCTTCGGTGATCAACTTCACCTCCAAAGTCTGCATCTACGTAGCCCTATAATCTTAGATTTCCTTTTCCAAAACACAGACATTTTTTTGTTGTTCCTCGTAGATATCTTAGAATCCACTTGACGGCTTTCCAATGAGCCTTTCCTGGATTTGCCATAAACCTGCTCACAACTCCCACTACATGGCCAATGTCTGGCCTTGTACAGACCATTGCGTACATCAGACTTCCAATGGCTGAAGCATACGGAACCTTAGCCATAATTTCTTCTTCTTCCTTTGTTTGAGGAGACTGATCCTTGGATAGACGAAAATGACTGGTCAAAGGTGTATTGACTGGTTTGACCTTGTCCATGTTAAATCTTTGCAAAACACGGTTGATGTACTCCTCTTGAGATAACTGCAAAACTCCTTTTTGCTTATCTCTCGTGATTTGCATTCCAAGAATCTTCATTGCTGGTCCTAAGTCCTTCATGTCAAATTCCTTTGACAACTGCATCTTTAAATTTCTAATATCTCTCATATTTGAACCTGCTACTAACATGTCATCAACATAAAGTAGCAATATGATATAACTGGACTTATACCTCTTGAAGAAACAATAGTGATCGGCATTGCACTTCTGGAAACCTTCCTTGTGCATGAAGTTTTCAAACTTCCTGTACCACTACCTTGGAGCTTGTTTCAGACCGTACAAGCTCTTCTTCAATTTGCACACCATATCCTTCTTTCCTTCTGAAAATCTTTTAGGTTGGTGCATGTAGATTTCCTCATCTAAGTCTCCATGGAGAAATACAGTCTTCACATCTAATTGCTCTAGGTAGAGTTCTTCACTAGCCACAATACTTAACACTGTTCTGATAGTATTGAGCTTTACGACTGGAGCAAAGATTTCAGTGTAATCAACTCCTTCTTTCTGCTGAAATCCTTTGACAACTAGTCGGGCTTTGTATCTCTTGGAACCATCATGGTCTTCCTTCACCCGATACACCCATTTGTTGTGAAGTGTTTTCTTCCCCATGGGTAACTTGACTAGTTCCCATGTCTGATTGGAGATCAGAGACTTCATCTCTTCTTTCATGGCAAACTCCCACTTGCTAGCATCTATGGTTTGACAAGCTCCTATATAATCTTCGGGCTCCCCTCCATCAGTCAGCAACATGTAGTCCATGTATCTCCTGTTTGGCACATGAGGTCTAAAGGACCTTATCAATACAGGAGTTGGAGTAAGAGGTTCTGGTTGCACATCACCTTCTTCAATTGATTCCTCTGACTGAGGATTTCTCACTATAGGATTTTCTAGGACATCTTCCACTTCTGCAAAAACTGGCCCACTCGATTCTGAATTGCTAATACCTGTTTTATGCATGTCCTTGTACAACACTCTTTCATTGAAGATTACATCTCTGTTGCGGATCATCTTTTTGTTTTCATCATCCCATATGCGGTAGCCATACTCATCTTCACCATAACCAATGAAAGTGCACTTCTTTGATTTTGGATCAAGTTTGTTTCTACCTTGATCACTGGTATGGACATATGCTACACAGCCGAAAACTCTAAGATGTGAGAGTTTTACCTCTTTTCTGCTCCATACCTCTTCTGGTATTCCGTGCTCCAATGGTACCGATGGACTTCGGTTGATCAAGTAAGTTGTTGTGTTAACTGCTTCTGCCCATAACTGCTTTGGTAAGTCTGACTGTACACGCAAGCTTCTGGCTCTTTCAGTCAACGTTCGATTCATACGCTCAGCTACATCATTCTGTTGAGGCATACCAGGCACGGTCCTCTCCATTCTGATTCCGTGCTCATAGCAAAACTTCTTGAATCTGGTGTCTACATATTCACCACCATTGTCGGATCTAAGCTTCTTAATCTTCAATCCTGTTTCATTTTCTACCATAGCTTTCCAAATCTTGAAAGCTTCAAATACTTCTGACTTGTGTTTCAGAAAGTAAACCCATACCTTTCTGGAGTGATCATCGATAAACGTCACGAAGTATTGCTTCCCACCAACGGATGAGACAGTCATTGGACCCCAAACATCGAGTGGACAAGCTCAAGTCTCTCTTTCTTTGGAATTCTTCTATTTGTCCGAAAGCTAACTCTCTTCTCGCTTTCCAAGTATGCAGTCTTCACACATGTCAATTTCTACTGACTGAAGACCTGATAGTTTTCCTTTTGAGTGCATGATCTTCATCCCTTCTCACTCATATGCCCAAGTCTTTGGTGCCATAGATTGGGATTTTCATTTGTTGCAACTGCAATCAAATGACATGCTCCTGCAGTCTTGTAAAGAGTACCACTCTTTTTGCCTCGAGCAATTGTCATCGCACCCTTTGAGATCTTCCAATCATCACCGTGGAAGATTGTTGTGTAACCTTTACTAGCTAACTGACTCACTGAGATTAAGTTCTTCGTCAGGTCGGGAATATGTCTGACATTTTTCAATTCCCATACAGACCCGTTCAACTTAATCTTTACTGTACCTTTACCTACAATCTCACACGATTGCTCATTACCAAGGTAAACTTTACCAAGATTTCCGGGAACATAATTCTCGAACAGTTGCTTTTGTGAGGTAGCATGGAATGATGCTCCAGAGTCTAACACCCAAGACTCCTCCTTGCTTTCTAAAGAGCATATCAACACATCATCTTTCCGTGAGGTAGAGGCAACGTTTGTCTCGTCCTTCGCTTCTTGATTCTTTCGTGCATTCTTGCACTGATTTTTGTAATGTCCGGTCTTCCCACAATTCCAACACTCGATTTGCTTCGAGTTTTGGGAACTACGATGATTTCTGGACTTGGATCGTTTGCCCTTTGATTTTCCGCGTCCGCTTTCTTTGGTTGAACTTCTTCCTCTTGACTCTGTATGCAATACTGAAGAGGTTGATGATTCACCCGACTCCCTCCGCCGGATCTCTTCACTGAGAATCAAATTACGAATATCATCAAATTTTAACTTATTGCTTCCCGATGAGCTACTCACAGCTGTGACAGTAGCATTCCAACTTTCTGGCAAAAGTATCAAAAGCTCGTACTTCATCATCGAACTCGATCCCAACTGAACTCAACTGAGTTGTAACAGTATTGAGTTCATTGATATGTTGCGCCGTTGAAGCGCCTTCAGACATCCGTAGATTGAACAACCGCTTCATCAAATGAACTTTGTTTGAGGTTGATGGTTTCTCGTACATACTGGAAAGAGTATCCATAAGACCTGCTGTCGTCTTTTCTTTTGCAATGTTAAAAGCAACATTACGGGATAACGTCAGTCGAATGGCTCCAAGGGCCTTTCTGTCGAGAAGAGTCCATTCCTCCTCTTTCATACCCTCTGGTTTCTTTCCTGTGAGTGGTTCGAACATATCCTTCTGATACAGGTAATCCTCGATCTGCATCTTCTAGAACTCAAAGTCCGCACCATCGAACTTCTCTATTTTCACCTTTCCTTCATCTGCAGTCATCACTCCAACTCGGATCTGACTTTTCTGGATCGTTTCTGACAATTTCTGTGAACTACCGTGTTTCGGAACACGTTTGTAGATAATTTTGTAGCACCGACAAAATTTTTACTATTCACAAAATAGTAAATTCATTATTCATATGAATAGTGTCACCACAAAAATTGCAGAGTTAACAACCAGCTCTGATACCAGTTGTTAGGAAAAATACACAGAACTTTTTCATGTAGTCAGATCTATGAAAGTGAAATAAAAACGAAATAAAGACAGAATAATTGGACACACCAATTGATAACGGAGTTCGGCCAAAATTGCCTACGTCTCCGGACTACTGCAGATATTTTACTGGGAGAAAAGAAAATACACAGGTGTTTACAAAGCACCCTCAAAACACTCAACCCTCAACCCAATTACACCCAAAAGCTAGATTATTTCTTTCTGCTTCTTGCTGGCTAACTCTTGTAATGGTTCCTTTGGAATTGGATGATGAAAATGAGTGAAGTGAAAGAACATTTTATAGCAAAAGGAATGGTTCTTGTGCATTTAAGGCTTTCCAATTTTTCTTGTCTTCAACCACTTGCCAACCAACCACTTGCCACCCTTTTTTAACTTTTCAAACACCAACAGAACCACTGTGGGGGATAGAGTTTCAAGAAATCCAACCAGTCCACCATAATTGCTTGAGCCACTGGTCTTGGGAGTTTAGCAGGAACGTGAAGGTCTTCTGATCATACCCATCCGAGGTATTAGCAAGGACTAAATATTGAAACAGGGAGGAAGGAATGCGAGGATTGATTTCCAGGCTAGCAATAAGCCACGCCTAGCAAGTCATACTACCTTGGGTGATATATAAGGATCACTTGGCAGTGTAGATTTTAGAACACATATAACAGACTTATGTAGCAGACATACATGTTTGACATCTTTAATAGTTGAATACAGAATAATTAGGTGAAACTAGAACTTTAAACGAAGAATCGGTACATTACAGGTAGGCTAATGGAGTTGATAACATGCGTATGAGTAGATATTAGCCTTCCCACATGAGAGAAAGGAATAGAAGAGAGGCATACTGTCCTCATGATCAAACTTTGCTTCCAGACCCTGTTGTTAGCTGTGCAAAATGTATTTTCGGTAAATTGAGAAAGAGTGAGGGAAGTTTTGTAGATACTTGACCAAAATTTCAGCAATTGGTAAGTTACACCAGAATGAATAGGTCCAAAAGCATATGCATAGTCGGATGGTTACAGATTAGAAAAGAACAGGAGTGACATAATAGAAGCTAGGTTATAGACTTGGAATAGGAATTTGGGGAGTAGGGGAAATAATAGCTAGGTTTGGATACTACAATATCGGTCCCATACCTGCATGCCATGTCCGTATAGGTAACTAACCAGGGGCGGAACCAATGCTAAAGATCAACGGGGCCAAAAATAAAAATATATATTTTCTTTTAAAATAATAAAATAGAAATTACAACTTACATACTAATATTAATAATATTAAAGATTTGAGGGGACCATGACCCTAGAGGTCCGCCGTAGCTCTGTCCTTGTAACTAAAAATTTCTATACACACCTAAATCCTTATCCGCTAGATACTTGTACACCACTTAGATCTACAACAGAGCTAAGTACACTTGTATACAACTTAGAGGTACTACAGTACTACCTACACTTTTAGTTAATATGAATATAGTCAGCTATTGTGCATTTGATTCACAAACTAATAAAACAAAAATGCTATTATAATACTAATATTAATGATGAAGAAAACAAATAAAAGAGTGCTGATTAAGAAAAAAAATAAGTAGTTTAAATGAAGAAAATACTCAAAGAAATCTAATTCCTAATTGTAAAGTATTACAAATAAAATTCTTTACAGGACAGCATTATCCTACTATGTAAGATGGGCTAAATAAAATTCTTTAGCTTAATAAAAAAATTATGGACTTTTAATTCTAGTTATAAAATATAAAATGCAAGTTTGAGTAGGATTCGGTAGTACAATATCCCTATATAAACTATTGAAAGGGACTTATGTATTATAGATGCCTAAGTCGTATATCAAATAGTAGGAAATGCTCGGTGGAGCATTGAATTGTTTGGTTCTTCCTTCTTAATAGTTAACTCTTGAGATATGGATCCCCCAAGTAATTAAGTGTTTATCATTGGTATCAAAGCTGGTTTTCAATGTCTCAGAAAGGGTTACCTACAAAGGTGAAAGACTTGGATATTATGGGATGCTTAGAGGAATTTAAGTATTGAATTCTCCCCTTTCATAGCTAACTTTTGAGGCATGGGCTTCCCAAGTGCCTGGGGTGTTTGTTAACTATCAATTTAAAATGGGTACCCCTAGCCTGAACTAGATCAATTTAATGGATAAAAAATATCATATCTCTTTGCGGGAATGGAGAAAACATAGTCTCTTCAATAAAGGGAATGGGAATTAGAAGTTGGGGGGAGGGGCTGAATGAATAAACTAAGTGATACTGACCAGGCCAGTTCTGCAATACAATCCAACGGTTAATCGTAACTCTGTATCGCCAACATATTCAAATACATCAAATGCAAGAATATTACAATAGTAACTTGAGTTAGAAATTAAAAGAACTGTTTTTAAACTACTACTTTTGCACAGTAAGTTCTTCCAACATCAATCATTTTGGGGTTTAGGAAAAAACCAATCTCTCCAATACCAAGGGAATGGGAATGAGAAGTTGAGGGGAAGGGGTGAATGCATAAACTCATTGATACTGACCAAGGCAGTTCTGCAAGACAATCCAACGGTTAATCGTAAGTCTGTATTACCAACATATTCAAATACATAAAATGTAAGAATATTGCAAAAGTAATTTGAGTTAGATATTAAAATAACTGTTTTTAAACTACTACTTTTAAACAATAAGTTCTTCCAACATCAATCATTTTAGGGTTTAGGAGAAAACCACGTCTCTCCAATACCAAGGGCATGGGAATTAGACGTTGGGGGCGAATGCAAAAACACATTGATACTGACCAGGGCAGTTCTGCAATAGAATCCAACGGTTAATCATAACTCTGTATTAACAACATATTCAAATACGTAAAATGCAAGAATATTACAAAAGTAATTTGAGTTAGCTCTTAAAAGAACTGTTTTTAAACTACTACTTTTGCACAGTAGGTTCTTCCAACATCAATAATTTTAGAACTTGTTTTAAAGAATCAGTAAATAACTGGATAAACTCGCTTGTGATCTGAACCATTGAATATTTTATCAAACAAACAGGTTTGTTGCTTTTGACTTGATCTATCTCAATCTAAGCTCACCTGCATAGTATTTACCATGTATGTAATATTTTGAACTGTAATCCTATTAAAGACAGCAGGATAGAAGTGCCAGTTGACCAGGTTTTTGGGAGAACTGTTGTACTATGAAATGAGAAGCTTTCAGCCTTACGATTGGACCTATTCTACAGTATTTGCTTTGAAGCTTGTCCCCCGCCTTGTTTACCTCATATAGAATGGCAAACTAACAGTCAGACTTAGGTGCATTTATTTCTTTTCTTCTCTCCTGATTATTAGGAGATTTGTTTTTCTGTTTATTTCCATATTTGTTTATATTTGCTGAAGTTCTGTAATTAATTGTTGAGTCCTGATAATTATATATATAATAATATAACATGGCTACAAAATTACACTACCTCTGTAATCTATACAAGACAACTAATTTAGTGAAGGCTCTTTAAATGCATTGTAATTTTAACCCTCCATCACGAGCATGACTTTTGAATTTCAATAGTAACATGTGTCAGAGTGTATTCATCCCTTCATTTTTATCGCGAAGATCATTCTCACTCTGAAGAGGGATATATACTTTTATCACTCTAGGTCATCATGAATGAGCATTATTAGTGACCGTCAATAGCTACAGGTGTTCAAGTCACTTATACTTAAAAAATAAAAAGAACTAATGACCCTGAACCAGCATGACCTAAAACAGAAGTGTTTATGGTTATAGATCTGCTACTGGTTTATAAGGTGGTGTTATCAAAAGCTCGGAATTCCAATTAAAAAATTCACAAATAATACGTAAGGTGAACTGTTCACAATGAAATGCAACATTTAGGACTAAATCCCAAAGGAACTCCATCATTAGCATTATAATACCGCAAATTTACACAATTAGCACTCTAAAGTGCATCGTGATGCATTCAATTACATGCCGTATATGACAGTGCATACTATACAACCCTAATCTTTTCCGTAAATGTCTCATCCCTACACAAAAGTTCTTCATATAAGATCTTAAAATGTGATGGCAAGTAAAAGGTTGGCCAGCAGTTGTTGGCCTCACTATCTCATATGAATGAACCGAATGGTGAATACATTCAAACAAAGCAAATTAGTTTGATGTATATAACTATATATCATATAGAACAAGTCTGAAAAATTACAATCAGAGCCTATACCTTTAATTGCAGGGTCAGTAATACATTCTTGCAAGAATAAAGAATCAGCACCTATCATCACATAATAAGCAAAAAAATATTAGTCGGTAGCAAGGTTTAAAAAGCAATCCAAGCTCGAGATTTTGATTGCAACATCAAGGTTTGTGGTGTCTCTGAGAGGTAATTACAGCCATGCCAACGACATTCGACTGCAATTCGCAACAAAACTGACACCATGATCGTGATATAAAACCTCAAAATGAACTAACTATAGAGTTTGCTGACGACATATCTCCTTGAGAAGCGCATATCTGGCCTTATTAATACTGTAAAAGCAGAAGTATATATGTTGCTCAAGATCCCCAAGCAAATGCTCCAAAACAGGTTGGTTCTTTCTAAGCTGTTTAAGCACCTCTTGAATGGGATGCCTCTCCCTTCCCCTATCCAACGCAAACCGGACGTAAGCCTTATCAGCTTCCACCGCGGTTTGAAGCCGATCAACGAGACTATCAATGGTATTAATGTCATTCACCACAAGAATTCCATTCTCCGCAGCCTCAAGCTGCTTCAACCTCGCAAGCTCCCTCCTCTTCTGCCGGGGAACACAAAACGGCGCCGCAGCGACAGCAGTGAACCCTACCGCGGCATGCGCGGCGACGACAACGATGGCGGCGATGGAGGCAACGGCAGCGACGATGGAAATGACGACGCACCCGGCGGTGGCGTGGCGGAACATGCGGATTCGCGAGTGGCACTTGCGGAGGTCACGCTGGATGTCGCGCTTAAGGTGAGAGAAGCTATCGCGGAGCTGGTGGAGGCGGGAGAGCGCGAAGGGATTGTCCTGGCTGTCGAATTGGAGAAAGAGGTCGTAGGCGCGGTCGCACTGAGGCTGGGAGAGTGGCGGAGCGTCAGCGGGAAGGACGGCGAGGAGATGGGAGAGCGGCTCGTAGAGTTCCCGCACGCGGAGGCTGGTGAGAAGGAGGCGGAGGCAGAAGTCGGAGGTGGTTTCGCTGTGGTCAAAGTAAGTGGAGACGAGGCGCGTGAGGTTGCTGCTAGGCTTTGACTTGGCAAGGGCTTCGCGAACGCTGTGGGAGTCAGGTTGGAGGACCTGGGAGAGGACGTGGCGGTGGTGTGAGTCCTCGTCGTGGAGGAGGTGGACCTGCGGAGGGGCCTGGATCATGGAGCGGATCTCGTTGTAGGAGTGTGCCTGCAAGGCCCGGAGGAACTCGGTGGACACGTTAGGGCTTGTGGCGGAAGTGTCTTCATCTTCTTCTTCCGATTCTTCTGCATCTTCTACATCCGTGGATTTCCCTACGAAAGAAAGCGAATATTCGGTGAGACATTTTCACAAACAGGTTGTGATCAGAATAAAGAGGTTTTGGTTTTACCTTTGGAATGGGAAGGGGAGGGAAGAGGAGAAGAGTTGGTGTTGGGAGTGGAGGATTTGACTGAGTCGCATTCCAGCATTTCTGTTTAAATAGTGTGCTAAAATTTTCGATTCTTCTGCCACCACCTTGCATACCATGAACTACACTGAGCCTGTGTGTGAGTAGTGGCAGTTTTCAGTTTGCGATGTTAAAAGGTATTTTGGACTGTAAAGGGAGATGGTAGAACCGACCCGACCCGATCCGATACAGTTTTGCTGGATCTGGATTGTCTGCGCTCAGAGATTATTATACCTTTCCGATATGTTGACTTGACCGCTTGGAATCACTTTTCATACTTAAACAAAATACAAAACTAAAGTGTTTTAATTCGATTTAATTTAAATTTAATATATAATTCAAATTAAACTAATTCCGATAATTTAGTTTAAATAAATTTTAGTAAATTTTATTATAACATCATTAAATAATTAAAAAAACTGTTAAACATTTTTTTAATATGAAATTGTCAATTGAAAATATACCTTGTAATTTATTTTTTATTTTAATAATTTTATAATGTTCATGAATAATTCTAAAAAAATTTAAAAATTTTGATTTTTACTTTTTTTTAATTGATTTAGTTTTGAACATCTATTTTAGAAAAAAAATATGTTGTTTTTTATTGTTTTATTTTAAATATTGTGTTTAGATCATTTTTTTAATTTATTTTATAGAATATAATTATTACCAAATATAAAAATTATTTTAATATTAAAAATATTTAATAAGTAAAAATATCGTATATTAATATTTTTCGAGGCTATTTTTTGTATAAGGTTTGTAGATGTTAATTGAAGTTATTTTTAATAAAAAAATAATATTGACCTCTAACAAATAATTTTAGTAATAATTAAAAATTAAGCATATCAATATTGGGTAAGAAAAAGTAATTATCATTGAGTGAAAATAGAACCTCGATAAATATTGAAAATAAAATTGATATTGACTTGAAATAAATGCAATTGACATTAACCGAAAACAATCTCAATTAACGTAGAAAAAATAGTCTTTTGATATATATTGAAAAATATAATTGGTGTTGAGAATGAAAAACCTTGTAGATCTAAACGGTTTACTATTAATCGGTTTAAATAGACAATCCTATACTTAATGTTTTAATGATAATTAATTAAAATATATTCAGGACTTAGGATTTAAACACCATATCATTAAGCGTAAATGAGATTTCATATATATAGAGACCATTTTTTTATGAAGAACAATAATTTGAAAAGGATGAATATTTATTAAAGTTTTATAAAAATAAATATAATTTTATGGATTGAATTTGAAAAACAATAATGTCTGCAACGCAGTGATTACTGTTTAACTACCGTTGTCCTGGTCCAAATATTTTGATTTGCTTATTAATGTGACGTAAGGAATGAGAGTGGTGACGTGAACGGAAGTTTTGAACAGGTTTTAGAGTTTGTCTCCATTTTAGGGCAGAAAAAGAAAAATAGCGATGTTTAAAAAACATTATTTTTCATAATCATTTTGAGTGTCCCCTTCTTGTGAGAACTACGTCTCTCTCACCTTATTTCAATTCATTTATAAACAAACAAAATTACCAAGAAAACCAGGTTTTATTGTTATTCTAGTTTTTCAATTAAAATAATATACTTAACTGTTATCACACATATCCTTCAATTCATTTTATAAATATATATATATATATATATATATATATTCATAAATAATTTGAAAATCGTCTATGAATAATTATTTAATATAATTTCAAATTGTAAAAATAATTATTAATTATTTGATAGTTTATTAAATTATTTAATTAAGATATATTTTTTTTTTAAATCAATCAATCAACTACAAGCTTCTCAATCACTTTCTTCTTCTTTTTTCTTCTAAACTTTTCTAATCTATTTATTTTCATTTATTTTTCCTTTCAACTCTTAAAATATACTTCTCAATCCAAATAATATATTAGATATGAGTAGAAAAATACAAAATTATTGTTAATTAATAAATAATAGAAAATTGAAACAAGTTAATAATTAGTTTTTATTAAATACAAAACAGTCATACGAAACTAAAATTTTGTCTTGGATATCCATAATTAAGATGTGAAGATTGGAAAGAAGAAAAGCTGGGAAAGAAAACTGACAAATAGTTTACCACACCAACCCAATCTTGAGTGTCATATTAACAACAAATAATGGTTTACAAGAGATCTGATACATTTATGAAGGAAAAAATGAGGAAGAGGAAAAAGAGAGTAAAGAATACAGCTTTTCACTGGCCCATGAAAAAGAAAAGAAAAAGAGAGGGGGGACTGATAGAGGGGGGATACAGCTGCTCTTTATACACTTAGGAAGCAGCTGGCCCTATTCTCTGGTATGCACTGAGGGAAAGCAAAATAAGAAAGCAAAGAAGTAATGCACAAATATAACAAATAATATATAATAATAAGTAACAATTTAAGACAACAATACCCTTTTCTTTCATGTGGTTGATTTGAATAACTGGCTTCCAAGGGTCACAGTTGGGGTTCCTTCTCCCATGATTGTTGTCAAGTTCATTTCCTTCTCTAGGATCCTATCAAGTTCCATTTCCACATAGCTCATGGCAGGTCTTCTCTCACTTGAAGGGTCTAAGCATCTGATTATGAGCATGATGTAACTTTCCATTCCTTCAGCTGTAAAACTACTCTCCAATCTCCTATCAATGGTGTAAGACATCATGCCACGGTCTTCATTGCTTAGCACCTTCATTATGCAGAGGATATAAATGAGCAAAAAACAATCACATAGCAGCACATGGACTTTACATGTAACATTAGCCCAAACCATATCATGAACAGTTTCTATCTTACACTTTCAACATGTGACCATGCCAAGTTGTGTGATGTCACCTTGCATGGATGATGATAGAAAGCAGAATAATCTTCTGTTTCTAATATCATACGTGCAAATGTTAACTTATGGATAATTTCATTTCATTTTTCCTTCTTATTTTTCTCCTTACATAATAACTTATTCGAACAGACTCCAAGTGGTACATGTATTCATATTGTAAAGATTTTTACACCCTAAGTATGATAATTTTGTTTAGTTTGTGTATAAACATTTATAGTGAGACTATATATAAGTTAAACTTCAGAAAATAATCACGTACCCATCCAACCAGATTCTGATTAGAGTCCGGAAATGGTGATTCTGTTGCTTCTTTCCCACTTAACAACTCCAGCAAAAATACCCCAAAGCTGTATACATCGCTCTTTTCAGAAAACCTTCTGAACTCTCTCACCCTGCAAGGAATGGTGTGCATAAATAGCCAGAACTACACAAGTCATTCATGAGATTTAGAGAGATATATTACTCTGATGCAAGGAATATTTCATCTTTTGTCCCTTGAGAAGAGGAGCCTGCAATGTCAACTATCCCCAAAAAATTGCGGAGTCCAGCATCTGCCACCTTAGCAATGAAGTTTTCATCCACAAGAACATTAGCAGTTTTGAAATTTTTATGCACCAAACGGGGACTCAAAGAGTGAAGATGAGCCAAACCTGCGTAGAATAATATGAATGAGCTTTTGAAAATCAGGAACAAGTTGCTCATGGCTTTATGCATAGAGAAGGTACTACCAAATAACGGAAAGTTATAGGATGGCTTACAAAAACAATTTGTGGGATCCATTAAGATACTTGGGTGTTTTATCTAAAAGAGAAGAAAACTGATACCAGGAAAGCCACAAATGCTCACTGATTTTGCAAAGGATCACCTTTAGCTGCACCTTGGGCTATTGAAAGTCTATGCTTGAATTCTAGCTTCTCTCTCGGTTGTTGACCAGCGCCTGCAGAGGAAAATCAAAGTCACCATCATGACCTTTACGACTCATTCAGCTAATATAAGTTGTAAGAAATTTCATGAAATGCAGAAATATGCAGTTAAGTTTTGCATGCATGCTGAAAAGCATAACGCACATGATGACAGAACTATAGTGTAACCATGAATCATCTAAAAGTAGAGATAAAATTCTTAATTAAGGTTTGCAGATATACAGAAATTTACCATACAAGTGACTGGAGACGCTTCCATTAGGCACATATTCATATATAAGAAACTGGAGATTGTTCTCCTGGCAGTAGCCTAAAAGACTGACGAGATTCCGGTGGTGAATAGATGAGAGATAGCGTACCTACAGCAAACAAAGTCATGTTAGATCAAAGCAAGAGAATGAACTATTAGGGAAACATGAGTTGAGACTTTATAATGTATGCAATTGCCATTGCCTTAGAATTATGAAGTGAAAAATGTCAAAAACTGTGGTATGGCTTATGCTCAAAAGTCCCTACAAGTAATTTTGTTAACATAAAGTCTGTCAATAAAATGAATTGAAAGAGAAATACTGATTTTGCTCACATATAAGCATATTTTTCAGACATCACTGCAACACATTAGAGTGAACTAATGGGAAAAGAAAGATTCATCTTTCTGAATCAAATGATATATGAAGCTAAGTTTCTGAACCAGAAACAGACAAGGGTCAGAAGAAGGACTACAGAAGTAAGAGGACATGCTTTAAAAATTATAAGAAGCAGATCAAGGAGAGCTATTTTGTTGACTAATTGAATTTCATACTCATGGCATCTCATGCAATCAGATTTTAGAGCATGAAAGTGAGTATTACCTCATCAACGAATTCCTGACTAGCTAGTCCGCGGCGTTTTTTGATGGCTACAAGCATCCCATCTTGAAGTAAACCCTTGTAAACCTCCCCAAATTTCCCTTCTCCAATCAAATTTTTCTCACTGAAACTTTTTGTTGCCAAAGATAGTTCTTCCATCTCAAAACGCCTAGTATCTCGTACAGGCAACTCAATTGTGCCATGTCTTCCCACTGCATGCAATGAAATTTATCTGCATCCCTTTAGGAAAATAATTTATCAAAGAGTATATATGTCTATCTAACACATGCATGCAAGATGTTACCTTGTGAAGGATCAGAGGACCCTGTCTCGGAAGTCCTAGAAACATTCCTCTGGCGAGACAAACAAAACCATAAAAGTATAACAATCCCTACCAATGCCACGGCTCCTGCAGCTCCTCCAAATATTGCCGCAAGAGTACTTGACATCTGGTGTGGGAATCCCTTCACTTATGCTGTACAAATTTATATGAACTATTATTATACATGAAACCTGGAATCCAAAGAATAGAAAAATATCACAATCTGTGAAGTATGAATAGAATGTACTTCAAAAGAAAGGAGATAGATGCAGTTAAGAAACAACAAACTTCAGAACCATAAGTGACCTAGAGTTCAAACCCAATGGAATGTTGAGACGGGATTGCAAAGGACAGGACTTAGCAAAAGGCATGCAGTGAAGAATGCAAGTAGAAAAATTAAATAATATTGAATATGATGATAATGCTGGACCAAAATAAGAGTATAAGCAGTAGGGTTGCTTGTAAAATTAATGGATGATGCTAAGCTAATATCACCAGCAAAACTTGAAACAAGTTTATGAAACCCAGCAAAATGCATGTATGTTGTAAATAAATGTCATGCAGGCTGATAAAATTGGATCTTGCCTAATAGCATTGCAGCTTCTCTGCACATAGATGAAATCTAAAAAAACAAATAAACAAGTAAATAAAGACAGTGTGGAATGGAAGGAACAACAAAGAGAATAAAGTGGTTACTTTTTGTCAAATCTCCAGGCCTATATCACGAGATAAATAATGAGGCAGGATCTCAGAAAGTCTGAGCTTCATTTACCAATGACACTTTGAAGGAGCTTCCAATGCCACTCACGGAAATCAAGATTAACCCACAAGCCCCCTCCACCTTCCCTCATATGAACCAATTCTCCACCCTCAACACAAATCTGACAATCAAACCAAGATTTCAAGGCTTCCACACAAGATGCAAATTTAGAAAGTGGGGTTTTGGGGGCATCAAAATCAGAAAGCCCCTTCAGATCAGGAGCAAAACTTCAAGTCTCAGTTGGCTCCAAAGACAAGGTCAAGGGCTGGTATGAATATGCTCCCTGAAAGGTAGTGCCACTCTGTAAGCAATGAAAACCCAGAAGTAAAACCTCTCTATTTCGTTGTACTTTTATTAATTTTATTTTGAAAAAAAAAATACTCTTTCTTTCTCTCTCTCTCTCTCTCTCTCTCTCAGAAGTGTATCATCGTTGGATAGTGGATACAGACAATGCCGACAGAAAGTGACCTTGCGCCGACAGACACAACACACTATCAGGTTTATTACCACCTCCACCAAACACCCCAATTCAAAATCATCACCATAAATATACACATAGTATATATATGTATGTACATGTAAACAAACCCACAAAAACAAGGGACCCTTTATATTCTTTTGATTGATGGTTCCACCCCAGCCGAAGGGAAATTCAATTCAAGCTGACTAAAATTGAAGCACAAGTCTCAGGAGGGGAATGCAGTAAGAGAGAGAAATAGAGAGAGAGGGTATGGCAGAGAAAGACAGAGAGAGAGAGAGAGGGGCCAAAAAATAATCTTTTTTTATTTTTTTGTGGGCTGTAAAGTGGGCATAATTGTTGTCTGGTACCGCAAGTTGAATGGGATTTATTTTTCTGTGTCATGTACAGGGCATCTAAGCTGTAACAGATTCACACTGCTGCAACAGCACAAACAGAGAGAAAGGGAGAGCCAGGAGACACAGTACATTGCAAGAGTAAAATCACTGAGATCATGTATCTTCCTATTTATTTTCACACATGACATGCACAACCACAAAATCCGACAGTTCACACCAAATTGCTTTGCTTCAGTTTAATCACTAGTCTCGACTAAGTATCACCAATGTACAATTATCTCAAATATTCTGCCACTCCATATTCTATAGTTTATAACTATCGAATATAAAATTATGTTAAATATTTTACCACACAAAGTTTTATCCTTTAGAACGGTTTTATCTGCCATGAACATGATTGTGCATGGTAAAAAGACACAAATGATTTTGTACAAAAATAAAATACATACCAAAAGGTGAGAGAAGGAGATTCAAAGTTGTGGCTTGTTCTTTGTGGGGTTGTTGTGCCCCACCAGCCAGCTATGTTGACGTTGCTCCTACTGAGTATTTTAAATATTTGTGTATAATAATAATAATAATAATAATAATAATAATAATAATAATAATGTAAGGATTATGTTAGTCTGGTAAGTGAATGAAATTTAGGACAAAAAGCAAGGAATATGTAACGGCAAACTCTATTGTTCTGCTCCTTTTAGCTTTTGTTTATTCCCGTTTCTAACAGCAACACTTCTTCGGATTCTATCAATTATTCTTTTAATGTCATTTGTTCTCTGTCGTTGCATTTGAAACAAATATAATATGATGGGGTGATGATGATTACCATGATGATTACAACAAGTCAAGAACTGCTCAGAAATGCAGCGATCGAGAACCAACAAAGAATTTACATGTAAAACATTAATCTTTGGTGTTACCCATCATCAAATTGAGCCTGATACACTCCTAAAAGGTAGATGCAGTCTTTCAACTGTCATTCAAATTAGTGTTTGAAACCCTCACTCCATTAATGAATTTGATCTTGACATTAAGAACAAAATTGACTAATAATTAGAGAACTGAAATGACTTATACTTTACAATTAAAGAGACTAATTTTCTGATCTCAATTTCTATAATTAAACTGATTTGACAATTGTCATTTAGAATGACAGATCTTACGAATGTTAACTTTATTTTTTATTTCTTCCATTTTTAATATCTATTTAACTCTTCTTTGGTAACATGGCTGAGCAAAAGGAAAATAAGCCTCAGGATGAGTATTGGCACCAATGTGAAGGAAACAAATGACATGATTAATTTTGATTTGAAAGATTCTTAGACTTGATGAAAGCAAGACAATATAGGGAAGCAATGATATGATCAATAACATACAGAAGGATAATTATTATTATTATTATTATTATTATTATTATGCTGTAACCAGTAAAACAACCATCTTAATAAATTACACAGTGTCAACGTCCGAAATTATTGAGGCACAATGATTTAGTACTACCCTTTCTGCTCATCAACTGATGAAAGTCCATTTTGCAACACAAAACTAATTAGCTTAGGTTTGTTTTGGTCTCTTTAAAACTGGCATCACTGGCCTAGAGTGTCAGTATATTAATTTAACTGGTTTTGCCTTATATAGATTCACTGGCCTTTTGCCATTCTGTGTCACACGCCTCACCTAACAGCAAATAAACTCAACTCACATTATTTCCTACAAACTTTCCAGACAGTATAATCCATGCAACCCCACAAAGATCACATCTTTAGATCGGTGACGTAGAGTACCAGATTACCCAATCTCTTATACCCAACTGGGTACCCAAGTTACTAACCTGTCACTGTTTTCCTTTCTCCTTTTCTTTCACATTTTTGCTACTGTTTCAACCATTACAACAAAGTTATGCATATGATGGAGTTGAGAGAGTGAGTGAAACATTGATGATAAGTTGGTGCAGTCCATATTATTATTGGTTTATTTACTATTAGCCAATCACATTTATTGCTGTATTTTAATGAATTTGAAACTGTGAGCATTACTTTATGTACCCATTAATGAGTCATCAGAATCTTAGATGAGACCTCACTACTTCTACAAGCAAGCAACGTTATTCCCTTTCATTACGCTGGATGATTGCTAGCTAGAAGTTAGAACCCTTTCTTTCTTCTATTTTATTTATATATATATTTGTTTATTTTTCGTGTTGGCTTGGTTGTTGAAACTTAGAAGTCATTGAACATAGCTGGATGCCAAAAACCTGTGTCACATGAATTGAAATTCCATGTAGCTGGAGAATCAGAGGAGTAATCCTAACTGGGACCTCAACTCAAAAAGCCTTTCTTGTGGAAAATGCTCTTGTCCTACTACATTATAGTACTTGGAAGCATCTCTGCCACCAAAAAGTACAAGTTTAATTTGCTGCAAATTATTGTTGCAGACCCCTTTTCCTTTGCTTGGGCTTTTACATTGGATTTTTTGTTGAAGAATATTGGGTCATTGGGGTCGTTGTTGCTCACTCTGTTTCTGCTTTTACTATTTAAACCTCCCTAAATTACTGTTTACTCTCCCATTTCTTTATTTTTCTTGCTATTACCAAAAATACCCTTTTACCGAAATAAATCATAAACCCTAAATCATGTTCTTTACATTCCACTTTGGTTTGTTCCCTTCAATTTTTTCCCCATTTTTTTGTTTTTTTTTTTTTTGTAAAAGTATGCAAGATTGACTTTATTTCACACAGTATCAAGAATTTGATAAAAATATTGTATATGAATAACTAAATTTAGTAAATTACAATGAAGCGAAATTAAAGTAAATTTTTTGTACTTTATAAAATGAAATAAAAAAAAATAGTGGAAAGGGTTGAGGACAACCAAAGTGATTATAAGGAATAGAGTTTAAGGTTTATATAATGCATTTTTAAATTAAAAGGGTACTTCTCGTAATAACCATAAAAAAAGTTAAAGGCGGTGTTAAAATAAATATAGGATAGTGTAAATAGTAAAAACCTCTCGTTGTTTGGTTAATTGTTAGGACTCAACTTGGTGCATAAAAAAAAAGCAAAAAAAAAAAAAAAAAAGAGAGAGAGAGTTGATAGCCATATTTTTAAAACAAAATCAGTTACGTGAAAACATACATGAGTTTAAATCTTGAATGGGATTAATAAGATTTAATAAAATAATATTTTTATAAAATAATAAATTTATTAATAGTAATATTTTTCATTAAAAAAATAAAATAATAAAAATTATTATTATGATTATTGTATATTAGAAAGTGAGAGATAAATAATTTTTAAAATAAAATAATTATTATTTAAAATTAACATAACTAATATAAGATTATATACATATAATTCCTATGATATTTTATTTGACTAATTATTATTATTTAAAAATACATAACTAATAAAAGAATCCCAAATAAAACGGGATTTTATTTGAGTAATTTCTAACAATTTTTCCCTTAAACTAAATTATTTAGTTTACTCTTTTTTTTTAACATACTCCAAGCATTGTTTGTAGTTTCAAAAAAACATCAAATTTGAGAGGCTTTGTCATCACATCAGTAACCTATTTTGAAGTGTATCAGTTTTATTACTCCTACCTGTACAAACTCTCGAAGAAAGTGAAAACGAACATCTACGTGTTTACTACGTCCATGTATTATTGGGTTTCTTGATAATTTGATAGCAGAACTACTGTCGCATTGAATAGTTATGAACTCTTGTTTAGCTTGATCAAATGTCATAAGCAACCTCTTTAGACAAATAGCTTGACAGGAACATGATGTCGTTGCGATAAATTTTGCCTATGTGGTTGACAAACTTACAATGGGTTGTTTCTCTAACCAATTGTACTTTAATAAAAAATATCATACTATTAAATATACTTTACATCGTAAAGCAAAACAGAAATTACGATAAATAAGGATTTAATACTAAACCCTAACTTACACCAAACTAAAATAAAAAAATCCCAAATAAAACGGAATTTTATTTGACTAAATTTTAACACGAACTACAAAATACATGAGTATGAGTATGATTCTTAAATATTATTGTTTAAGTTGAAATTATAAATATCACACTAATTATACTAAAATTCACAATTGATAATTATAAATGTTTATCAATTTTATAATAATAAAAATTAAAAAAATATATTCAAATCAATTAATTAATATAATTCACATTTTATATTAGAATAAAATCATACTAAATTAGATTATATTTTATTTTTATGTTTTATCGATTGAATTTTACTATAAGTAAAAAAATGATCTTTATGAATAGACACACCTTCAAAAAGTTTAACTAAAAAATTAATCTTAACTTGTCTCTTTGTTCATTGGTGCCAGGCAGGGTGGACTAATATGTTAATTTATTAGTATAAAATATTAAAATTGATTGACTGAAATAAAAAGAAAATATTTATTAAATTTTTTATATTTGTTTTTTAAGATACAAATATATAATAGAATTATAACTTAAACAAAAACCTTGCAAAATTAAATTTCAATTCTTCAATGTAATTCAAATATTTAACATGTAAAAATATCAATTTTCTCCTATTGATTAAGAATTGGAAAATATTTACGTAATTAAATATATTTTTAGAATAATTTTTTTAAAATAAACTGAAATTTAAAAAAAAAATCTGAAATTAAAAAAAAAAAAAGCCATAAACTGTATAGGATGACCTATTTTACTGTCCCATTATCTTTAATGAGAAAAAACACAGACAAATCATAAACATTTCTTTATTTTTTTTATAAAATAGGTCTCCTAAAAAGTGTTTCAGGAAAATTAAATTCATGTTCTATTAAATGAATCACGTTTATTGGGTCCCCATTCTATTATTAATTTAATGGTTTAATTAAATTTAATAAAATAATATTTTTATAATATAATTAATATATAATAAATTTATTAATAATAATAAATTTTTATAAAAAATATAATTATAAATTATAACATAAAATATAGTAAAATGAAAAACTTATAATAATGAGAATAAGAAAAATATATCCTGACTCGTGTGAAATAAAATAAAAAAAAATTGTTTTTAAAGTAATACACTTTTAAAGTAAAATTTAATTTTTTATTTATTTTATGCTAAATTAATTAAAATTGTGTTTTTTGAAATAATTAACCAATTTTCAAACTGGATTCGATCTGATTTCAAATTAGTGTTATTATCAGTATTACGTACTGTTTTCTTAACTTCTATTTCAAGAGCATTTTTATTAATTTTTTCTTTATTTTATTCAGCAATATTTATATTTTTCTTTTTGTAATAAAAAAAATTATGGAGAGGATAGGTGATGAGATCTAAACACAAAATCACGATGTGATTATAAAAGAATTTAGACTTAATTATGCAATTATCTCCTTGTTTTTACTTTTTTTTTGCAAAATTTGTCAGCATTTTTTTCAAACATTTTATCTCTTATTTTTTAAACTTCACGAAATTTAATCACGTGGTAATTAAACATGTAACTGTTAATTTACTTATGGCATGACAACATTAGTGATTAACATGTGAGAGATTAAAACCCATATATAAAATTAGTGATTATAAAAATAAATAAACAAATTACTTCCATTAGAAAAGACAGATTAATACCCTTATTTGCCGAATTGATCCAGCAAGTCTAACAATTTTACCATCCTATGTTCCAATTTAGGATGTTAAAAATTTTGTACGTTACTTTGCAAGCGTTTGAATAACAAGGTTAGCTAAGGAAAGGAGATTTTTATTTTTATTTTTTAATTTATCGAGATGAAATCTTTTTAAAAAGTTACTGATTTGGGGTCAAGTGTTTCAGATTTCAATTTTTTATTTAAGATTTAGAAAGAAGTTGTATTAAATAATATGATTTATATATAAAAGTCGTAATATTTGATATGATTTTATTATTATATTATAATAATTATTTTTATATTATTATAATTAATAATATTTTTATATTATTAATAAAATAAATAATAATAATAATTAAATTTATATTATTATTAAAAATAATAATTATATTAATTTATTATTAATGATAATAATAATAATAAAATAGTATAATTAATATTATTATTTATTCTATTACTAATATAAATATTCCTATTTATTTATTATCAATAATAATAATAATAAAATTATATAATAAAAAATTGTTATTATTAATTAATTTTCGAATAAACATCAGTATACAGTTTATTTTATTCATACTATTTTAATTATAATTAATAATAAAATAAATAATAAGGAATATATTTATATTTATTAATATAATTAATAATTATTATTAATAATATTATTCAATTATTAATAATAGATAATAATATTATTGAAATAGTACAATTTATTTATAAATTATTTTAAAATAAAAAAATTATATAATACGACTTATTTAAATATTTAATTTAAAAAAATTAACTATATCGATAAATTAAAAAAAATACACCTATTATATATATATATCAAAGGAGACCCATGCGGCCATGACATGGACCACTATAATACATGTGTAATAAAGGTAAAATGATATTAATTAATTTTTTCATTTACATATAAGTGTATTTAAAAAGTATATATAATAATAAATATAAATTATTAAATAATTACTAGAGAAATTAAATAGTTAAATTAATAAAAAAATATTAATTACTTCCATTTTTTATCATTATGATTTTTTAAAAATTATCTAAATTTTTATTTTAAAATATATTTAAGTATTAGTGGGTGAAAATTATAAAAATATTATAAAATAATAAAATAATAATAATAATAATTAATAAAAAATAAAATAAATATATGAATAAAATAAAGTATAATTATTGCGTTTTGGAGTGATGTTAGGCAAAGAATAAAAGAAGGAGGTGAAGATAACCAAATATAATTTAATGTAAGAACTAAACCTTAGACAAACTCCTCTGTTCTTACTATAATACTGCATTCTTCTGCCACCTTAAATCCATAATCAAAAGGAACACTATACCAAACTATCACACTATTCCTCAAATTCTGGAGGTTTTCTTATTAGGTATTACAGTAAGTAATATAGTTTTAAATACTATAGTTCGTTCAATCAATCCTCCAGGGAAACACTGTGAAGCACAACGGTCTCAACGGTCAGACCCGGCCCGAACCCGAATAACACCCCCCACTCTAGGCCTTCTCCCGTGCTACCCTTTCCTTCCTCTTTTGACTTCTTCCTCATTTCATCAAGAATGAACAAAACACATGCACTTGACATGTTTCCGTACTCACTCAGCACGTGTCGAGTGGACCGAAGTTTTTCCGGCTTCAGCCGGAGCTTCTCCTCAACCTGGTCCAGAATCGCCGGTCCACCCGGGTGAGCTATCCAGAAGATCGAGTTCCAGTCGTTAATCCCAATCGGCGCAAACGCCTCAGTCAGACTCTTCTCGATGTTCTTCGAGATGATTCCGGGCACGTCTTTTAGGAGATGGAACGTCAGTCCAACCTCTCTCAGGTGGCCGTCGATGGCACCATCGGAGTCTGGCAGGATTGTCTGACCAGCCGTTACCAATTCAAATATTGGCCGTTCCACAGTCCTGTCGGGATCCGCTCCGATGATCATCGCCGCTGCGCCATCTCCAAACAGCGCCTGCCCCACGAGGGAGTCCAGATGGGTATCAGACGGGCCGCGGAAAGTCACGGCGGTGATCTCGGAGCAGACCACCAGGACGCGGGCGCCCTTGTTGTTCTCGGCGAGGTCCTTGGCGAGGCGGAGGACAGTGCCTCCGGCGAAGCAGCCTTGCTGGTACATCATGAGGCGCTTCACCGAGGGTCTCAGACCAAGAAGCTTTGTGAGCTGGTAATCCGCTCCGGGCATGTCCACGCCTGAAGTGGTGCAGAACACCAAGTGCGTGATCTTTGACTTGGGTTGACCCCACTCCTTTATCGCCTTCGTTGCCGCTTCTTTTCCCAGCTTAGGCACTTCCACCACCACTATGTCCTGCCTCACGTCCAGCGACGGTGCCATGTACTCACACATATTCGGATTCTCCTTCAGAAACTCCTCAGTCAAGTGCATGTAACGCTTCTTTATCATCGACTTTTCACCTGTCAAACCCAAATAGTGTCCATCAATTTCTACTTTAAAAATAAATATATTAACGACAAAAATTGCCTTTTCATCGTTGAAGAAAATCACAGCCACAAAATCTTTACAAATCATGCATAGATTGAGTGAGTCTGATCACTTAGAAACAGAGATGTGCGTTGACTTGATGGACGATATAATTAACACTAAACACGATAAAGGACACCGAATTTTTTAATCACTCTGAATAAATAATCCTAAAAATGGTTTAAGATACTAAAACTAGTTAAAAATGTGAGTCCAACTGAAAAACCAAAATATCTCATCATCATAATTAAAGCTTCAATGAACTCCGGTATACTTGGAATAAAAAACAAAATTAAACTACCAGGTAGGTAAAAATTCACCTAACCAACGGTAAGCTTTAAGTGGACCTAAATTTCAGACTGAAAATTAGTTTGATAACTAAAAGAATAAAAGAAAAAAACGTAAAGTAGCATAAACACTTCAAAATAAAACCCCAAAAGAAGTGTGAGTGAGAGAAACAAAAGTTGATAGTGTTGTAAAATAATACGTACACATGCGCTTGAACTTCTCCTTGAGGTCAGTCATGTGTTCGCTGTTGGTAATGCGGAAGTAGTAGTCAGGGTAATCGGCTTGGGAGACGCAGTTGGCGGGCGTGGCGGTGCCAAAGGCGAGGATGGTGGCGGGGCCATGGGAGCGCTGGGCGTTGCGGATTTCCTCGACGGTCACCATTTCGCTGTTTGGTTGGATGGCAGTGGAGAAGAGAGGAAGAAGGTAGAAGGGAGCGTTATTGTCACGAGGAAGGGTGAGTGAGAATGGTTGTGAATGGAGGGTGGGTATTTATAAAGGGGTGTTGTGATTGGAGAGGATGGGAGCGAGTAGGTTTGAGGGACGGGCAGATGAAGAGACACGTGGATAGGGGTTGGCAGTTTAACCTGCGGTAGATTTTCAGCCACATATGTTATTATTATTATATTATTATTATAATAACAATAATTATTATTATTATTATGTAACTTATTCCAATTATTGAAATGCAAACAAATGCTACCTTGCAACTTCTCGTTCTCTTCCTCTTCTAACCAACTTTTTCCCCCCACCACGTGTTCTTACCATTGCGATTAATTAGATGTTCGTCTATTGTTGTAGTAGTAGGATGTTCTCACTTATACACCATCTCCTCAAGTACTTACTCAGATACATAACTACAATATTAATTATTTGGGTTATTTATTTATTTTTTTGAATAATTTATAAAAATAAATAAAACAAAAAATAATAAAATCATGAATTTTTTACATTTTAAAAAAATTAATTAAATAAAATCATTTGTAAGTTTCTTAAAAATAGGTAAAATCATTTATTTCTATTTTATATCTTTTAAGCTAAAAAATAATTTATGTAAGTTTATTATGTCGGAGATGTCTTACTAAGATAAATATTTGTAAATAAAATGTGTATTTTCATGATTTGTAATGCCTTTTTTATAATTAAAAAAAAATATTATAACTTGGTGTAAGTTTTTAATATATTTAAAATTAGTTTATGTATAAATTTTATATATAGAACCGTCTTTTATATAAGATTTGTTTTGATGAGTTTTTAATAAATCTCAAAGAAGGAAAAAAAGATTAAAAAAAGTTTAAAATATATAAATAAATTATATGAGAGTATGCATACATTAATTTTAATTAATAGAAAAAACAATTTTCTTTTAAAGAGCTTATTCAAACAAATTCGTAATTTCTCTACAATTTTCTTCTTAAGATGTCTAGAAATTAATTTTAAATTTGGAATAATTTATCTTTTTTTTCTTATTTTTCATGCTAAAAATGTTTATGGAAAATTTTATTTAAACAAGTCTTCGTAATTTAAAATATTATTTGCTCTGTTCTTAATTCTATCTGCTGACAACATTAGAATCGCAAAATTTATATATTATCTATTTTTGTATTATAGGAAGGTAACGGGAGAGAAAAATATTATATTTCAATAAATATTTTTAATTAATCGTAATATTAATTACACGATGCGTTTATACTATAGTTGTACACCATCACTAAATAATTTCATTATATAATAATAATAATAATAATAATAATAATAATAATAATAATAATAATTTGAAGAATTATTTTTTGAATATAACATTTAAACAAATTGCTAACTTTTTATTAACTATCTTTCTATGATTCAATCAATGTACAATTGAATTTAATAATATAAACTTAATTATTTTTATTATAATATTAAAATAAGTTGTCGATATTCCACGTTATATTTAGTAACATAATATCGTTAAATTTAATTCTCACTTGACATTATATAAATTATGTTCGACGGTTAAACGGCGTGTAGTCTTCTACCAAAAGCGTTGTGACGAGGGGAGAGTGATTGAATGACGTGAGTGCGTCATAAGAGATGTGATGGGTAATGAAACACGTACTAAATTTATTTGTGTATCTATGTTTGCATTTTTATTATTTTAAAATTCATTGTTTAAAAAAGCTTTTTAGGAAATAAATAACTTTAAAAGCATGATTTTAGAAGGATTATAAAATTTGATAAAGTAAGAGACTTTATTCTAATTTATACTTCTATGGTCAATAATATTGTATTTTGTTTATTTTATTGTATAATAATAAGGAAATAAAATAATATTATAATAAATAAATAAATAAATAAACAAACAAATATTTTAGTTTTCTTCAATCATAAGTCTTTTTTTTTCATTTATATCTTGTTCTTTAATTTATTTATTTTTACTTAATTTTCTCCTCTGTTCTTTTACTTCTCTTCCAGTAAAAGAGAATAAAAATTCATCTTAAGTTGGTAAAATAATTTAAGAAGATGAAATTTGAATTTAGAATGATATGTTAGTAACCATATAATCACGGCAACTTTATACATGATAAAAATATCCTTCTATTATTGAGCTAGTATGAAAGTACAACGAGTTAATCATAATAAATTTTTCTCTTAATAATGAGTTGGTGTGAAAGGGTGCAGATGTCATAGTTCAACAAAATATTTGTTTAATATTAATTTTTTTAACTTTGTGTTAACAAAAAAAAGATGTAACTGTCACAGCTCATCTTACATATGAAATAGATTGGCTTATTCGCCTAGTAATAAATTAGTGAGTAAAAGAACGTAACTATCACAACACAATATCATTTAACATATTTATCACAACACATTATTATAACATTGCATATTAATTCAATAATAATATATGTAATAATGTATATAATTACTTAGTTATAAACAAGAGAATTTCACACTATCAAATATTAACTGCCATTAAAACAAGTATAATTTATAACTTAAAATATCTTGTAGAAAACCTATGAATAGGATAAATATACTCTTTAAATCGCATTTTCATTAAAAATTTAATTTTATTATCTCTATTCTCCTTATATGTGTCAAAATAGTTGTAAGTTGATGGATAGTTTTAAAAAATTCAATAAATAATCAAAATTAAATAAAAAAAATTGTAACTTAAATTGAATCAGACCTATTTTAGTTTAACCCATTTAGGCCATAAAATATATGAGCTTAAGTCAAGTTAGCTCGTAAACTTATTTATGGATTAACTTATTTTATAAAATAATAATTATTTTTTAAATAAGAATAAAAATAATATTATTTTATTAATATATATATATATATATATATTAAAATTAATTTGATAAGAAATTTACTTATTCTAAGAGTAAATCTTTAATAATCATTTATTCCAAGATTTAAGGGTTATGATTAATTATTATTTTAGATAAATAAATTATTAAAAAATATGATAAAAAAAGTGTAAGTTTTTAACTTTTATTTTAAGATTAAATGGATTCATTATCTTATCATTTATACACTAAATAATTATATCTTAAATAAAAACTAATTTTAGTAATATAATATAAATTTTAAATATAAATTTGTTTATTTAAATGTTTTTTAATTAATTATTTTAGAATAGATATATTAATAGTTTTTTTTAATTATATCAAAATTTATCCATTAGTCTATTGGTCAAGTTAAACTTAAAATTTATGGTTTAGTTTAAAATTTAGGTCAAATTTCACCATAATATTTTTTTATTTAACTCATCCAGTGATACCAAAATAAGCTGGTTCCGCTATTCTAACCACACTAATTCTCTTTTTGTTATACTAATTTAAGGATAGTAATTTTTGTTATTAATCGAGTTTATTAGGCGTAGTTTTTATTAAATTTTGTTTATAAAAACGCAATCCAATCAATTGGAGTAAGAAAACCCATCCACATATCCATTTTTTTTTATGTAGTAAACAAAGGAAAATTTTTTTACCGAACTTTATTGCCGTGTCTGTAGCATAGCCAATAATTCAGCTTACTACATTAAATCCAAAGAGAAAATTCCTTCATCTTAATTAAGACACGCAAATCGTTATTCATTATTTACCTATTTGATAGTAAATCATTGCCTATTTTGTGATTAAATAGTGTTAATATATTAAAACTTCATAGGATAAATCATGATTTATTATTTGAGCGACTAAACTAACATCACCACCACACTCTACCTAATTTATAAAAATATATTATGTCTCATTCTTGATTTCATTTTGTGGACCATCTGTGTCTATTTAAGGCATCACCAACACCAAGGTATATGCCAAAGCAAATGCTCTGTTTTTAAGGAAATAATGAAATGTTAATTTTGATTAATTTAGAAGAACTTTGATACATTAATTAAAATATATTACATGTTAATTTTTGGAAATTTAAATGAAATAAATAGTATATAGAAAAATATTTTAAAATTAATTAATTTTGAGATTATAAATAATAAAACTGTAAATGGTAAAAAAATGAAAAAAAATATATATATATATATATATAACATGTTGTGGAAGGAGGAGTTGGGTGGGTTCACCAAATTGAAGATGTAAATGCAAATGCTGACACGGTGGAATCGAGAAGTGTGAGGGGGAAGGTTAGGTTGTTGAAAGTGGGGCGTTCAAATTAAAATGGTTTGGTGCAGACTTAGGGAAGCGTGATGCTCATGCGTTCGGATCACAAAATATCCTTATTCTATAATAAAATTATTCAAATTTAGTTTTGTAAAAAAAAAACATAGAATTATTTTACATTTGAATTGCATTTATAAAATTGAATTATTTTTAATTTATATTTTATATTAATCAAAATCACTTTTATTTATAATAATTTTATTTGAAATAAAATAAAAATCTTCTTAGATGTTTATGGATATGGGTATAAAGACTTTTATAAAAATAAAATCAAATGATGTGCGAAAGGTAAGTAACAGACCGATTTTTTTTTATTTTTTTTTTCAGGATAGCTTGCTAGCTAGGAGCCACCGTCTATTGCCATTCCTGATTACCAACAACTTCTTCACTATTTTTCTTTTTTTCTTTCAAAAATACAACCTTTATATTAAAATATATTACTCATAAGATTCTCTCTCGTTATAATTCTATTTGTATTGGATATTTGTTTTGAATAATTACAATTGATTTTAAATCAAATTACAAAAAATAACGAAAGTAAAATTTTATCATTAATAATAACTTAAATTTAATAAATAATTGTGTATTAACGAAAACATAAAAAATAAATTAAAATATAGAAAAATAAAAATGAATTTAATGGGACAGTAAAAGAATTTATAAATAATTTATTAATTTAATTTTTTTAAAAATGTGGATAGCATAAATTACAAATGTATGATGAATTACTAGGGTATTGATTACGATATAAAAACATTTTAGAGACACATAAAATATTCAAGCTCATAAAATTCTATATGAGATCTTAACATAATATACTTAATTATCTCTTAATTTAATTATATTAGGCTCATTAAACCATAATCATTATCATGCCTACGTTTAAGTAAGTGGAGGATAATGTTAGGTATTAGTTATGGCAATAGAATATTAAGTTATATGTTGGAGACATTTTTCAATACCCTCTAAGAGTGATCAACCTTACTAGCGTGACATTAATGATAATATGTTTTACATGTTATATTAATAATCATATCATCATCTATTTATTTCATTAAACAAATAAAATAAGGGATTTCATTAATTTATTTTTTTAAAAAAGTTGAATAAATTAGTAATAATAAAAAACTTAGGCTTTCATACTAATATTAGGTAGGAAAAAAACCTAGCCCTTATCTTTCATTTGGATTGAAGGATAGAAAGTGAGAGAGTGAAAAGGGAAAGAGAAAAAAAAGAAGAATGAAAGTATAGAATGAATGAAAAAAATAAAATTATTTGGAATAAAGGAAAAAAAAAACAATAATAAATAGAAAGTAATATAAATTGTATTTATAATTAATAATTTTATTTATTATTTTAATATTATTTATTAATATTATAATTAAATAAACATATTTTGTGCATCTTTTACAGCGCTAGAATTAACCTGGTTTCAATAATAATAACTTGTCTTTTTATTAATTTTCCTTAGTTGAACGTGGAAAAACCGAAGTTTACTTTTACTTGTCAAAATAAGCAAATTGTGAAAAATGAAGTTTATTTTCTTGGGTGACAAACATATAATCAATTATCTATTTAATGTAATTCTTTATGTTATATTATATTCTCTTATCAAACGCATATTTTACACTTTTGAATGAATCAAACAAAAAAATACTAATACATGTCTACACAATTCCATTTTAAGATAAAATATGTTGTTTATATAATAACTATGACAATTAGTATAATTAAAATATTTTGTTTGATTTTCATATATTACTAATTATTTTATTGAGTTTTTAATTATCATTACTAAAGAAGTAATTAGTTTTATGTTACATAGATTATTAAGTGATATGTATACCGATAATATACGTAGAAACAATTTATTTATATATTCCTCAAAAGTCATTGATAAAAATTTCCCTGAACATGTCAACTTTAATCGTACACATCGTCATAATCTTCCATCAAATCATTTTTTTTTTACAATTAAAACAATACACATCAAAATACATATATATCACTTAGTCATCCACATGATATAAAACTAACTTTATTTTTAATGATATCGATTAAAAACTTAACGAAAGAATTAATATAATATAAAAATCAAATCAAATATATTAATTAGATAAAAAATCTAATATAATTCATTATGTTACTTTATATTGTCTTCTCAAATTATGTGTTTTTTCATGTTTTTAAATGAATCCAAACTAAAAACATTAGTGAATGTCCACCCAATTCCATTCCCCTCCCCTTCCCTCCTCTTCAACAAAGATAACATCACAAGATCCAAATTGTTAATGTGCTTGTGCTGATATTATTAGGAGTGGCTCCCATGTGGCGGGTGAGAATGTGGGGTCAGTGTTATCTCTTGAATGGTTAATTGTCACATTGTCAAGGATTTTCTGGCGTGTGAACGAAATGTGAAGGGGCTAATATACGATGATTTAGGAATGTCAATTAAATTTGTGTTCGTGGGATCGCTCTGGTACAGAGTTTGAGGGAAAAAATTCGAGTTGATCGGAGATGGGACAGATTTGAGTTTTCTTCGCTTTAAAAAGTCGGAAGCGGGAATGGGTAATGTAATCCCCACTTCGACCATGTCCCCGTCCCGACTTTATAATTAAATTTAAATTTTAAAATATTAATATTTTAAAATTATTTTCTTTTCTTTTTCTATCACATGTAAGGTTATTTTTTTATATTTTACCCATTTTTATTTTTCTTCTACCTATTTTTTAATTTTGTCTTTTTTAATCTTTTATATCAATTAATTTATTACATTATTCTCTCTTATACCTTGCAATTTTTCATATTTCCTTAATCTCTCTTATCAATTTTTTTTTCCAATCTTTTCAATCAATTTGATGAACACAAAGTTAATTTTTTTATTCTTTATCTTTTTCTAAATATTTTACATAAATCTTAATAGTAACTAATATTATTTTATTTATAATTTATATTTATTAGGTTTTATTATGTCATTTTTTTATCTTATTATTCTTATTTATCATATATCAAATTTTATCTTAATAAAATAATTGTATTTTAAAGGATTAAAGGAATTGATAATTTAAACTTTTATTACTTTAAACTAATTGAATAATAATTAACTTATTAAATATTTTATTATAAACTATATATTTCATATTTTTAAATGACAACTTAAAAATAAATTAACTTATATATATAATCAAATGTTTGAATACAATATTATAATAATAATGATAATGTTATAAGTATTCAAATATTTGAATACGATATTATAATAATAATAATAATAATGTTATAAATAAAAAATGATTAAATATTTCTTTTACATACATATTTTAATATAAATATAATAAATTAAAATGCATATTTAATTAATAATTATTATAAATTATAAAATTATAAATATTTATTTATATATAAAAAATAGATAGTAAAATTAATTTATTATAAATATAATTATCTTTTTAAAAATAATATAAATCGGGACGGAAACCCGAAACCCAGCGGGACGGGGATGAAGACTTAATTTCTAACCTTGACAGGGATCGAGGACGGAGATGATTAAAAAAGTCGGGAGCAGGGATCGAGGAGGCAAAACCCACCCCTACCCCGCCCCGTTGGCATGCCTATTGATCACAGGACGATCACACAAGTCTCAACAATCCAACTTGGGGTATGTTTTTTTCATCTTTAAAATCAACACTATCATATACACGTTTTATTAAGTAACCACATATGTTAGCTGCATTTAACGGCTCAAAGTCAATTCAACTCAACTTAGGTAGTGCATACAGACTTGCAGTTTGCTACATATAAGCATCCAAGCAATATAATTTATCTAAACCTCTAAAAATATCAAAAATGGAAGGATATCAGTTACATACATGTCTTGACATTTTCTACGCCATTCAACAAGTTTACCCCGACTCAGTACGGTCACACAGGTAATAACACATACAGGGCATGCAGCTCTGTCGCCAAAAGCTAAATATATGTTTTGAGATATAGACTTGACAGAACATTCAATGATCCGATGGTTTCTGGGATACACGACTTCTCTTCTCCTCAATACCAGATTGGGAAAATCTCAGCCGAAGAACCTGCAAAACATCTTCTATTTTGACATCTTTCTGTGCCAACAGAACCATGGCATGATAGAGTACATCAGCCATCTCTGAAGCAGTACGTGATTTGTCCTCATTATTCTCTAGTGTTTGACACAGCTCATTTGCCTCTTCCCTGCCAGTAGAAAGATAGGTACAATCTGAGTTCATAAAAAGACAACCGTTTATTCCATATTGTACCTTCAAGCAAAGTGAATTATAATAAAAGCTGTGTTTTAGGCATCTTATACAGAAGTAATAGGATCAGCTACAAGGCTTCTTAATGACTGAAAAGCATGTAGAATGTGGTATTTTGGGGACAAACAGGGAAAAAGGGATCTCTTTTACCCCCTTTTAAATTCCAACTCAACATAATAACATGTTAAGTTATACGTAACCTGATTTTAGAACATAGCAACTGATCATTAAGCAATAATCGCTTCGTCCATGAAGGCTTCTCATTTTCTCCTGTTAACTCTGTTTTCCGTTGCGAGATTGTTGACTCTAATGCATACAAAGAGGTTAATGCCAATTTATTTCCTTCATCCTGTAACAGAACCCAAACCAACGTGAATATTGCTGAACTTTCTCTGCAGGAAAACAAGACAATTTCATGTTCTTTTTAATTGATTGAATACCTCTTTCTGTTTTAACAAGTCAAAGACTGATGTATAATAGCATGTTTCTGCCCCTGTGTGGCAGGTAGGCCCATCAGGTTTCCCCAGGTATATTATCTGAAAGTAGTTACCGGGGGAACAGTAAACAACACACATTGTGATGCAAAAAGGAAAAATTAAATAATTCAATGAGAAAAAAGGGAAGAGCTTACAGAGTCACGATCACAGTCAAGAAAGACATCATGGACATTGATAAAATTATTCGAGGTCTCTCCTTTGGTCCACAATGTAGATCGTGATCGGCTATAGAATGTGGCCTTTCGAGAAGATAGGGTTGTAGCCACTGCTTCTCTGTTTGCAAAACCTTGCATTAATATGGCTCCTGTGTCAACATTCTGAGCTATTGCCACAGCTAAGCCTTTGTTATCCCATTTCACACTGTCCAGTAATGAATCTACCTGAAAGTTTAACACTTCAATGTAAAAACATCGACTATACTAGCAAAAGAAAATTACAATAACAAAAACTTGAAAATAAGAAATGCTTCGAAAATTCAGAAAGAACACCAAGGATGAATGTTCTTGTTAGAATAACAAATTAGCAATCACCATAAAAGAGTAAAAGAATTTGGGGACCTGATCCCGTGGAACAAAGTTGCCACCCAATTTAAACCCAGATATATAAATCTAAACTTACATCCATAATTTAATGAGAAGTGCAACATTAGATGGAAAATCAAACAACTAAAACAGAAACAAAACTATAAAGATAAATAAAAATTGTGATTAATACAAAGAAAAACTTTTAGGGTTGATTCTCTATCACGTGACCAACTCCATTAACAAATAAAGCCTAGCTATAAAACTACTGTGATAATAGATACTTAAGCAACCAATTTTTTTAAAATCAAAACCAGACACTGTGCTTTAATCTAAACACTGCAAGACAAAGCAGAACCAAATTGCATGTCTGACTAATACTAAAAGTGGCAGACATACATAATAGAGAGAGGGTGCAAGTCCAGTGCATTTCCTCAATTGTAAAGAAATTCATAAGTATTTTTTTTTTACACAGAAAACTACAAGTAAAACTTTATAATTATGTATTGAATCTCATTTTTATATATTTGAACCCAATGATTTCAGTTTCTATCATTTGTCCCCACAGAATCTGGGTCCTGGGTACACCACTATACAAGGGCTCTACTTAACTAATTTTTTGCAAAAGCACCAAGAGAAGAACATAAGAAGAAACAAAATAAAGCATGCTCCCAAAATAAAACACTTATCCTCCCATAAGCTGAAGTTAACATATGCATAAACTAATAATATGTAGAAGACATATCACGTTAACTTCTCTAAAAGCCTATTTTAACTTATGCATGAGCTAAATTTAATTTATGGGAGAAACTTATTTTATTTCTTTTATTATAAGTATTTTAGAAAATAAATTATCCAAACTAGGCCTAGATGATGACTTAAACGAAATCCCAGACAACAAACATTCGCAACAGATAGCTAACAATATAGCAATTTCTTTTGATTAGCATGCTTTGGAGTCTATATCTCAAGGCCTTGTTTATACAATTTCAATAATCTTTCAGCAACATATATCAACATGTGAGTGTAAGTCATCATATAGAACTGTACTGTTTTCACACATAAAACCACATAAGGAGACTGTACAACGCAATGAACTTGGAAAACCAGGTTTTGAACAGCCAATTTAAAACTTGTGGAAAAAACACAAACTCGGTTCCTTGTTTTTACAAGTCCATTTCCTCAAGCAACCAATTCCTAGAAACCACACTAGTTAATTATGTGACACAGAAGTACCTTAGGGTCTGACGTGTGTATAGAAGCAAAAACTAAACGGTGGGTCCTTCTCCCCTTGGAACTGCAATTGGCATAGGAGAGATTACCCTTGTGGAAACCCCTGCCAGATTGAACTATATGAAAATATGAAACAGCCATGGATTCCAAGGGAACCTGAACCTGCACCTGCAACAACCAATTTCTCAGTGACTCACTGATCCAACCAGATGGATAGACAAACACGCACAATTTCATAAAGTATTAGTGATCAAAAATATATTCTGCTCAACATTACATGTAAAATCTTAAACCTTCAATTTCAGGTTTCAAAGAAAGACAATGTGCATTTTGCTCCATTTTTTTTTGTAGTGTTGGGGTGAATGAAACGAATAATTATTACAATGTAAACCTTTGCAACGATTGAACGGTGAATTGAGAGAGTGGCTGAGCGGAACCGACGACGGCACTTGAACGGCGAACGGCGGAAGATGGAAGGGTTTCTGGGATCGGAAAAAGACCACTAACAATTCACGGTGCTGGGTCTGTGTGTTTTGGGCTTAGTTTAACAGCTAAACGACGCCGTTGATGGGCCCTTCAGTTTAGATTATGTTCGATAAAGTAATTAATAATGCAATATAAAGCTTATAAGTGTTCATACGTAATTATCTATGCTTAAATAAAAACACTTTCAAGTTTCAAGGGAAACTTTTAGGAAATTCTTATCCACACATATTATTTTTACTAATATACTTTTATCCAAAATTCTCTTTTAAGTAAAGTTCTTTTTACAAATGCTACAATTTTAAATTATTTTTAAAATTACTTTTCAAAATGTATTAATTTTAAAAAATTATAAAAGCTTTCCTACTATATTATATCAAACTGACCTTTAAAAATAATAAAATAGAGTTATCAATCAATTTAGTCATTGAAATTTATTGATATTCAATTTGATAATTAAAAAAAAAAGTGTTTTTAAAATTATAATGACAAGATAAATTGTTCTCTAGTTATAAAGGTTCAACAGTACTAAAGTTTTTTTTTTCTTTTTCTAATTGACTAGTTAAACACAACTATCTAGAGTTATTAAAATAGAAAGTATTTATAAAGGTTCAACAGTACTAAAGTTCAATTTTCTCTCTCTCTATAAAGTTATTAAAATAGAAAGAATTTATAAAATTTAATTTAATTTACGGTGATGAAAATTTTACCAAAAACCACATTGACATCAAAGTTATTGAGGTAAAATAAATTCTTTAATTTATTGTTATAACAATTTAATGTAAAGTTTTTTTTAATTTGTTGTTATAACATTTTAATGTGTTTTTTTTAAACTGTTATTTGTAATTTAACTAATTTATTCAATATTTTTATTTATATATCACAAAAAAAGGAAAATAAATATCTAAAATTATTTTCAGACGAATTATTCATTTTCTAATTGTTATCATTTTATTTATGTAAAATACGAAGATTATATATATATTTTTGAATTTTATTTTATAATTTCATATGGAGAAATTATATATAAGATAAAAGTTATGAAAATAAAACAGTTTTACTATATATGAAAAAAAAAAGAGAATTACGAAGATGGAATAATTAACTGGAAGTCATAAATGACTAAATTATTAAAGTGATATTGTTATTTTTAATTATACTAATATTAATATTTTTAATACATTTTTATAAAAAAAAATAGAGTTATATTTGTAGCTAGATCATTTTTTTTCTTATGCATTATCTTTTCACTTTGGTAATTTGTCTAATATTTTTCTTTACTTAAGTAAATTTAAAATTTTGTTTTAGTCATTAATTTATTTTATTAACGTTAATAATATAGAGTATTATAAAATTAAACATCAAGACAAATAATATTTTTCTTATGAAATCAGACAAAAAAAGATTGCACTTAACACATAAAATGTTTGGGTTTAAATTATATTGATTTAATTTATTGTTGTAATAATCTAATAATAAATATTTTATTCTTGTTTTTTTTTTTACTTATTCAACATTTTATTCTAACTAACGTATTTGAAGAATCAATATCTACATATTTTTCGTGCGTACTTATTGAATTTTATCAAGAATCAATAAAATATATAAAAATGCATTTTGTGTTTATGAAGATTGTGATTCTCATGGTATGTAACTCACTTTGATATTACTTATTTTCTTGTTGAACTAGATTAAAAATTTAATCACCTTATTGGTGATGAAAGTGTTAAGAATTTTTTTAATATATATATATATATATATATATATATATATATATATATATATATATATATATACGTGAAATAATGTTATATATTGTAGAAATTCAAAATGTTTATGTAAAAATTTGGTAGATTTATAAATGAAAATTTTATAATTATCGAAGAGAGAATTTGAACAATTGGTATATAAAATTGGACTTTGTCACGTCAATGAGAGGAAAAATGAAAAAAAAGTTTGATTGAAGAATGATATACTCTTAATAGGTTTTTGTTTTACGGATTTCTTTTTTCTAATAGAGTTTTAATTAGATATATTCTTCCATCATTATAATCTAGGAAAAAAACTATTTAATCATTCTTAATTTTTTTAATAACTTTATTAGTTATTGTTATTAGTATGATTATTATTTATATGATTTAAATTATATAGTTTGAGTTGCATTTCTTATTTTTTTTAATAATAAGTTATTCAACTTTTACGGTGACGAAGGAAAATAATAATTTTAACTTTATCTTATCACTTATTTTATTTCTTTTTATAATGACATCATTAAGACCTATTACATCTAAATATATTTCAGCATGTAAAATAATTTTTTTCTTGTATCGCAAATAAGTTTCCTATCATGAGATATTTGAATATGCACCATGAATTAATAAAATATAATTAGACAAAATAACTTATAATTAAACTATTAAAAAATATAATAGCATAAACAAAATGGAAGATTAGTTAAAAAGAATGTTAGAATTTTGCATTGATAATATATTATAATTAAAAATATATTTTTCTATATCTGTTTAATCATATTTTACATAGATTTTTATTTTTTATTTTTTACTTATTTTATAAGAAGATTTTGTTTATACGTATAAACAAGTTCAGTGAAAGTCAGGGTTTCTTAATATAACTCTGAAATGGTTTTGCAATGAGTCAGGATTTCATATATTATATTAGTTTTTTTAGAATTGATATATTATCTCTACACTGTATCGATTTTAAAAAGAACTAATATGTAAAAAATTCATCAATTATTATAAAAATATTAATGCATTTATATTTAAATTAATTATGATACAATTGACGTCATTACTGTAGAAAAAACTTTTTATGTCGGTTAAAATAAGTTTTCTACGTCGATTAAAGCGGTGACATAGATACAGAAGTCATAGAAAGTAAGTCTTTCTACATCGTTTCGTAAGAATCCACGTAGAAAGTAAGACTTTTTACGTCGATTAGTCAGGGAACCGACGTAGAAAGTCTTACTTTCTATAACCCCTGTATTTATATCGGTTAATAGTAACCGTGATTGTATGTAATATCAATGTCGGTTATGCTTATAATCGACGTAGAAAGTGTTATTTTTTTTTACAGAACCTGCCTTTTCTTCACAAATCCTACCTTTCTTCGAGTAGACATGCCTATTCATCATAGTTCCAGACAGATATTCACAGTTTCAAACACTTGTATAGACAGATATGCACAGTTCATATATAGTTCCAGACAGGATATGTACATATGAAACATATTGAAATCAATATATGTACCTCGGTTTCAGACAGTTCATTTACTTAAACGAATGTAAATTTGCTAACTTAAATCAATTCAATCAAAATTGTTACAAGCAGTGGCGGATCTTGACCATTCATCTTGGAGGGGCCAAATAATATATTGTTAATAAATAATAAATAAATATAAAAGGAAGAAAGAATATGAAAGGGTAAAAGGATAAAATTGTAAATATATATTTAAATATATTAAATGATCATTAAGTTTGAGGGGGACAAAATCATAAATTATATGAGAGTTACAAAACTAAGGAGGGGCTAAGAGAATAAAATTGTAAATATACAAATAAATATATTAAATGTTCATTAAGTTTAGGGGGACCAAAATCATAAATTACATAGGAGTTACAAATCTTTGGGGGGGCCACGACCCCCCTCAGCTCCCAAGAAGATCTGCCACTGGTTACAAGTCAAATTTGCTATGAAGATTGAATACTTAAAAGGAAAGAAGCTCACTGCTCTCTAATATCGTCTAACACTTCAATCTTTAATGGAGATGAGTTTGTAAATTCCTACATATTGAAATATTTCAGATTTAGAAACCATTTACATAATTGGCATATTTGACTTAATTATAGTATATTTACCTCCCTCCATGAGTCCATAATATTTTTGGATACGATGGTGTGCATGTGCTTCATCACATAATACCCGCACTCATGACTTCTTGGTTGGCGTGGACACTACAAGTTAAATACATGTCAGATTAACTTTAAATGACAAATTGAACAACAGTAAGAGGAATGTTTGGTCACTTTTGGTGCAATATACGTCAACTTCTTTCTAGCATGATATGGAAGGCCTTACAACATTAGGTGAGCTTCCAAAGCTCTACAAAAGGACAAATAATTTTGGTGTAAGTGCACATATGATACAACAATTAAAAAAACAAAACTTACGCGTCTATGTGCTTTCTAATATCCAAATCATTTGGTTTCTTGTGTAATGAACATAAGAGAATCACAAGAAATTGATGAGGAACAATGATTATGAGCTACCAATGACCCCTGCACGTTGAAATAATATTAGTAAAATTTCAGTTTTACATAAATGTGCATTAATTTATAAGATGTATACTTACTAATGTAAGTAAGGTGCTAAGTAGACTTCTTTGCCCCCATTTTGAAATGTCTCTATTAAGTACGTTTGCACCTCTTCAGTTTTATTCCAACGGACTGAATTGCAACAGGGTCAACAAATCCATAGAAAAAGACAATCTTCCTCTCAACATACAAACGATGTAAATACCTTCAACATTGAAAATAAATAAAGTTATAAAATAATGTACCAGTGAGAATATAAAAAATATGTAAATTTACTTACAATTCTCAAAGCTGTAACACTGATACACATAGCATATCAGTACCAGCGACAATATCAAAAATATCCCTTTGGAGTAAGAAAAAAGGGATCGTCTCGGTCCTGCATACGACTTCAGGTGGCATATCTAACTGTATGGGAGTGGTCCCGATAGTCGCTGCTAGTGCACCGAGTCACTATAAAGCACTCGGTGGTGGTAGTGATTCATGCACAACTTCCTTTGCTTTTTCAGTCTCTTTCTATACAAGTACCAAAAATAAATAACATTAATATACATCAACATATCAAAAAATAATAAGTAAAAGGGATAAATGCATGACACAACCTGTGCATGTGTTGGGATGGGTCTTGTTAATGAAACTGGCCATAAGATAAAATTTCCAGGTGCCTGTCCCACTGTTTGAACCTCTTCAGTGGGAATAGGGATTGGGGGCAACAACATCCCGAACATCTACAACCACTACTCTTATCATATCATGTCCAATACTCTGGTGGTGGATGGTTGACACCAATGCATACATTTTCCCTAAGGTAAACAAATGATAAAATATTTTAGACTATATAATGCTTAACAAAGTACCAAATACATGTCAAAGATATAATACGTACCGTATGTCACCAAATGCTCGGGAGGACCCGCAACATACAACTCACAGTCAGCAGTGTCAGTAGGAGCAACCTCTGCCCCTCTATCAGGAGCATCACAACTCTCCTTTGTGCTGACATGAATCAGGGATGCCTCTCGTGCGGGAACAGAAGGTTGAGAGGACAAAGATGTCAACTCTGCTCGCATTAAGCTCAATAACTCTGCCTTCAATTCAGAGTACACCTCATCTCGAATCTCCTTCCTAATTTGTTGTTTGAGGGACTCTAACTCCAACTCATCCAGATGCCTCAAAGTATGAGTTGCCACGGATGGGGCACCAAAGTACTGTCTGATGCCCACCCCTCGTCCAGCAACACGAACACGTCCAGGATGCTCTGGGGTATCGATGAACACTGCCAATATATCCTCACGGCCATGTTGGTGGAATGATCCCTGAGTGCTCTGCTCAACCAACTCATCCTACAACACAAAGGAAAGATTTTTTAGCAAATACATATGTCTATTG